GGTGGGCACACCCAGGGCCTCCCGGGTCAGCGGGAACAGACAGGGACTTGTTGTCTGGAGGCAGCCTTACCTCCTCCCAGCTGTATTTCTTGGCATAGCCCGCCCCTGCCCCTGCCCCTGCCCCAGCGCCCCACTTCAAGGGCACCTCAGAGCCCACCCAGCCCTCTTGCCTTCCACCCCCAGAGGCAAGATTTGGCTGGAAATAACCTGGCCCACCCTCACTCTGCCAGCCAGCCTCCAGGAGACCCACCTTCCAACTTCCTCCCTGCTGCACCATCTGCTGTCCTGATTGTGAGGCCCAGCCTGTGTTCTCAGCAAGCTCAACAAGTTGTCCTTATGGTTTATAATCCTGCGTTCGTTTATGTAAGTCTCATGGCAACCCATTTTACCGCTGTGGAAACCTAGGTTCAGAGAGGTATGGCCATTTGTCCACAGCCACACAGCTCCTAAGTGGCAGTTCTTCTGAGATTCAGCGCCGAGGCTATCCAACATCAGAGCCCAGGAAACAGGGGAATTATAAGAAGGACCACCACCAGGGACACATCAGACCAAGCATGCTACTCTCTGGGCGTCCTTTGCATTCACCAGGGCCTGGGAATCAGGGTCCCTGAGCTCAGTCCCAGATCTCAGGTCCTAGAGTAGGAGGGGGAGTCTCTTCAGACCTTCTTGGTACAGTTTCTCCAGACCCCTCTGGGGGTGACAATGCCAATTCCAATAGGAGGTGTGTGGCGTTTTGAGATCCCGGGAGGTGTTTATTTCATCCTCCCTGTACTTCAGGTTTGAAGGCGACTCTGCAGATGGCAAGGCAAGGCCTCCCGGGGAAACCACCATCTGCCCAAAATGAATGGTGAGAGCTGGCGTGCCACCATCCACCCTCCCACGCTGGGGCACAGCACACAGCCACCTCGGCTGGTGGGCCCAGCACACTTCTCTCAGGGCACCTGTGCTGTCCTCCCTCAGCCTAACCAGGAGCTGGAATGGGAGATGCAGGGGGCGGCCCTGGCTGGAGGCCTAAGTGGCTGCATCTCAGCTGGAGAGATGCCCAGGAGGCTGGTTAACAGAATGTGTGGGGGAGTGTGTCCAGGTGAAAGGAAAGAGCTATGGAGATGCTGAGCATGATCAGCTCCTCCAGGAGTATTGCCTGAGCACCTACTACATTCCAGCCCTGTGCTGGGCATGGGGATCCAGCAGTGAGCAAGCAGCTCACAGTCCACATGTGGAAACCAAGTGGTCCTCTTCCCTGTCTAAGCGTGGGGCTGGAGAGCAGGCCTCCAGGGTCCTGGTCCCATCTCAGCCACCTCTCTCATCGCTGTGTGGCCTCACAGCTCCCTGCCCCTCTCTGGGCCTTGGTCCCACCCTCTGGACAATGATGGTGGAATGAGATGGTCGCTACAAGCTTCTCCTTGATTTCCATCATTTCCACCTATCATTTCATAGATTCAGTTCAAGGCCTGGAGGAGGTTAGGTGGAAGGGTCTGTAAGGTTTAGGATTCCCTTGCTGAGATTTGGGAGGGTCCTTCTAGGGAGAAGGCTGAGAACAAGAGTCACTGCTTGGCAGCACCCTTGAGCTACTGAGCACCTACTATGTACTAGGCATGGGCTAAACTCTTTCCATGAAAAGACCCCACGAATCCTCCCACAGCCGCATGTGCTTGTAGAGAATGTCCTGTTTATAGCTGAGGACTTTGAGGTCCAGAGTGTGAAGCCACTTGCCTAGGGGCACTGGGCTGGGACAAGGGAGCTGCAAAATTCAAACCCAGGACCTCTGCCTCCTAACCACTAAACCAGTATTCCTTAGACTTGAAAGGGAACATGAAAATCACCTGGAGATCGGGTTTAAAATTCAGATTCTGCCCCTCCTATCCCACCCTCAGGAGTCCACCCCAGTATGTCTGAGGAATGTACATTTTAACAAACTGCCCAGGGAATTCTGATGCAGGCCATGTGAGGGCCATGGCAAAGGTGGGGCCTCTCCCCACCCTGCACCACCTTCCCCACACTGACGCTCTTCCCCCAGTCATGGCCCTGCCCTCTAATCTCTGCTTCCCATAAGCTGCTTGTTCTTTAAATAGCCCCAGGAGGCAGCGACTTGGGGCAGGCTGGCCCAGGCCCCTAACCACCCACCACCTACCACCCCAGGCTCCCCACCCCTCTATGCAGCAGCTCAGAGTCCCTGCCCCTTCAGGCCCACATGGCTGAGTGGGCCCATCTACACTGGGGGAGGTCTGTCAGGAAGGAGCTCCAGGGAAGGTCCATGTCTTCACGTGGGGGGCCTCTCTATGGGGAGTCCCATCTTTCCCCACCCCTCCTGCAGTCTCCATGGCAACAGCAGTTGCCATGATATTGCTGGATGAGAAGCTAGTAGGGAAGAGGGGTGGACCCTAGGCCTCCACCTCCACCCCGGTGAGACCAAATGTCCTATCTCCACAGTCCTGGGCAGACCCCTAAAACTGGAGGTCACTTACCCAAAGAAGTCAGTGAATAAAGGATAGGACGAAGAGGCAGGAAGTCCCTCTAATCTCCCATCCCCTAGTTAATCACCTCCTTCTCTGTGCTGCCTGGTACACCTCCTTTCTAGCACATGTCACATTGCATTGCATTATCTGTTTACTGTCTGCCTCTCCCACCACACAGTGAGCTCCTTGGGGTGGGGGACTGTCTGACTCATCTCCTATACTCAAGGCCCAGCACAGGGCCTGGCACCCAGCAGCTGCTCCCAAATATGTCCTAGACTGAATGTAATTGAATTACATAAAAAGCCAAGTCTGGCTCCTTGGTTTTAGAGGGCGGCACAGTTTGATGGGAACTTCCTGAGGCTCTTGAGTCCAACAGATACTCAGGTTTGAATACCAGCTCAGTCATTCCTAGTTGGGTGATCTTGGGCAAGTCACCTCACCCCTCTGAGCCTGTTTCTTCATCTGTAAAATGGGGGTAATAATTGCCATATCAGAGCACAGTTTTGACAACTTGGGGATTTAATTTATTGAGCACCTCCTGTGTGCTAAGCCCTGTGCTGGGCACTGGCATACAGAGGTGGACAGAAAGATGCAATTCCTGCTCACCTAAAGCTCACAGTCTTGCAAGAATGAATAGTGCTTACCTGACACCTAAAAAGCGATTAATAAATGCAGACTATATCATCCTCCCCCTTCGCCTTTAGAGTGGCTCCCTCAGCTCCAGCCTGAAATCCCCGTGATTCCTCCCAGCAGCCTCTGCTCTTCCCAAAAGTGGGGCAAGATGAGGACAGGGGTCAGAAGAGACCTCCCCAGATCCTGAGAGGTGGCCTTGAACCTAGGAGTCCTGGGCCTAGTCTGTTGTCTCCAGGATCCTCTGCGCCTGGGATGCAGGAAGCTTTGTGAGGCGAGGGTCAGAATCTGGGCTGGGGTCAGGAGACCTGGGTTCTGGCCCCAGTTCTGCCCAAGCCTCAGTGTGAGTTTGAGCATGTCCATTCCCCTCCTGGGCCTCTGTGTGCCTCTCCATGAACAAGATGACTGGCTGGATCTCTGGGGCCACTTGGGCTCTGACTTGCTTCCCCTTTCCTGGGTCCTGAGGACACTGTGACTTCTGATTCTGCCAGCCTGATCCCTGGATATGCCTCCACCCTTATGATTATGACAGCCTGGGTGGGGTTGGGGGTGGAGGGGGGATGAGAAGAGCTGACAGGACAGAGAACCCAAACCCCAAAGAGTCAGCCAAAAGGACGGCTGAGGCTGAGGCTGACATCAGCACAAGCAGATGTCTGAGGTATAGATTGTCAGGCCTGGGGGCAAGGGATGCCTTTGGGATCCCTCAGTCCAATCCCTCAGAGGGAAGCAGGGGGGCTGAAGGGCAGGGAGCTTGCACTACGTCAAACAGACCAGGGCCCAGGGCCTGCTCTGCTAGATACTGGCTGTGCAACTTAAATGTCTCTGAGTCTCAGTTTTCCTCATGGATAAAATGAGGGTAATAACAGCACCTACCTCATTGGGCTACTATATGGAGTCCATAAGATATTGTCCACAAATCTCCTGGCACACAGTAGACACTTCAGAAGCATGAGTGCTTTGCTTTGCCACCTTCCTCTCCCCACCCCCTGTGTCCTCAGTCCCAGCCATATGGGGCCTGGGGAGGGGAAGTGAGATGCCGCCCTTCCCCACAGTGGAAGGGAAGGGAAGAGGTGCAGCTGTGTTTCCTTTTTATTTTTAATTGTGCATTAGATGAAAGTTTACACAGCAAATTAGATTTCCATTCGATAGTTTGTACATAAAGTGTTTCATGGCCTGGGTTTCATTCCCCACAGTGTGTCAGCACTCTCCCCATTTCCACCGTGGTTTCCCCGTTTCCTTGGTCCTAATTTTCTACCGCTTCCTGCCTTCTCACCTTTGCTTTTGGGCAAATATTGCCCTTTTGATCTCATATGTATTAATTGATTGTTCTAAGAAGCACATTCCTCTTGGGTGTTATTATTTATTTTATGGGCTTGTCTATAGTTTGACTGGAAGGTAGTCTCTGGGAATGGCTTCAGTTCCAGGTCAGAGGGGTGTCTTAGGGCCATAGTCTCGGGGGTTCCTCCAGTCTCTGTCAGGCCAGTAAGTCTAGTCTTTTTTGTGAATTTGGTTTTTTGTTCTACATTTTTCTCCTGCTCTGTCTTTTTGGCTACTGGACGCGTAGACATGGGGCCACCACATGCCTCAGTTTCTCTTGGGCTGAATGGCAGTGGCCAAGTTGGGGTAGGGACTTCCTGCGGGCTCAGAACCAACACAGGGCATGTCTGAGAGAGATGTGGGGAGGTGTTGGTCTTGTCTCTTGGCAGCTCAGATGCATAAATTCTGTAGCCCAGTGAAGTTGGAGGTCTTTCCACCTTTCTCAGCTGCCACCCTCCTGAAGCCCTTGGGCTAAGGTGAAGGATGGGGCCAGCACTTTTGGGGAGCTTTGGAGCTCCCAGTGGCAGGACAGGTGTGCCTGGGACAGAGGGAGCCCTCTCAGACCTTGATCTCCCTCTGGCCCCCAACTCACTGCAGGGACTTTCTGCCTCGAGGATCTGGCATTGTCACCCGCCGTCCCCTGGTCCTGCAGTTGGTCAATGCTACCACAGGTACGTGCCCTCGCCCACCAGCAGCTCCGCCTGAGCTCGCTGAACTTGCTTGCTGTGTGACTCCTGAGAAGGGCTTCCCGTCTTTGGGCAACATCTGGACGATGGGGATGAAAATACATAAAGGAGACGTGTTGTTGTTGTGCGGGAGGGAGGAGTAGGCAGTGTTTGGGGTGTGCGTCCAGGATGTCTGTTTCTGATGGGGTGGAACTCAGGTGGGGTTCTGTGCTATGATGCCTGCTCTCTTCCCCTGCCCGCTTTTGGGGCAGAATACGCCGAGTTCCTGCACTGCAAGGGTAAGAAATTCACCGACTTCGAGGACGTGCGACTGGAGATCGAGGCTGAGACGGACCGGGTCACTGGCACCAACAAAGGCATTTCACCGGTGCCCATCAACCTCCGCGTCTACTCGCCGCAAGGTAGGGAGACCTGGCCCCGCCCCAACCTCCTTGAGCCCTCACTTAGCCCCGCCCCTTGGAACAATTTTCTTGGCTCCGCCCCTTTGCTGACGCGTCTTTACGCATACTGGGCTCCAGCAGATTCCGCCCCACAGTAACCCCTCCCCTGTGCTATCCTACCCAAGCTCCACCCTGTGATGACTCCTCCCACCTATGTCCACGCCTCCAACGGGCTACTGCTTTAGCCAAGCCGGCTCTGCCCACCTACGACCAGGCTCCCAGTCGGATCCTCTCTAAGTCCGGCTTTAATCCTTACCTCCGCCCACCCACGGCCACTCCCCTCGCCTTGAGCCCTCTCTGTCGCTGCCCTGTCCAGTGCTGAACCTGACCCTGGTGGACTTGCCCGGAATGACCAAGGTCCCGGTGGGGGACCAACCTCCCGACATCGAGTTCCAGATCCGGGACATGCTCATGCAGTTCGTCACCAAAGAGAACTGCCTCATCCTGGCCGTGTCGCCCGCCAATTCCGACCTGGCCAACTCCGATGCCCTCAAGATCGCCAAAGAGGTGGACCCCCAGGGTACGTTCCCACCTGGCAGCGGATGTCAAGGCTCTGGGCATAAGAAGGAGCTACTGGAAGGTCTAAGCAAAATAGTGAAGGGATCAGATTCATGCCTTTAAAAATCATTTTCGGTACTCTGGGGAGAATGCATGAGGGGGAAAAGTAGAGGCTGGGAGGTAAGGGAGTAGGCAGGGCAGGGAGGGAGATGGGGTGAACAGGGGTGGTGGAAGTGGGATTGGAGTGGGATGTGTGCAGTCTTGTGTGTGAGAGCAAGCACAGGTGTGGCTGACCCTCCTCTTTCCTCCACCCAGGTCAGCGCACCATTGGGGTCATCACCAAGCTGGACTTGATGGATGAGGGCACAGATGCCCGCGACGTGCTGGAGAACAAGCTACTCCCCCTGCGCAGAGGTAGGCAGGCCCTGCGTGACCCACTCCACTATTCCCTACGGCCTTGGCAAGGCTGGTTGCCCCTGACCTTGACCCGGTCCACAGGCTACATTGGGGTGGTGAACCGGAGCCAGAAGGACATCGATGGCAAAAAGGACATCACGGCTGCTTTGGCTGCTGAGCGCAAGTTTTTCCTTTCCCACCCATCCTACCGCCACTTGGCTGACCGCATGGGCACGCCCTACCTGCAGAAGATCCTCAACCAGGTAGGCGCTCCAGGCCAGGTGAGGTAGGGCCTGGGGGAACCAGCAGGAGAACAGAATAATTTGAATGTGTTTTGTGAGAGCAGCCAACAGAAGTTAGTTAGCATTCCCATCGTGCAGATAAACAAACTGAGACCCAGGAAAGCAAAGCAACTTGCCTGTATTCACACAGTCAGGGCTTTGCTTTGCTGACCTTTCCCTGCATGTGACCTGGTATGGGAGCCCTGGATCTTCCTCCCCCCCCCCCCCACTTCAGGATGTAGGGAAGACCAAGACCTTCTGTGAAGAGTGGCATCGACAAGGGTTTGGGTTTGGGGACAAGGATTTAAGTGTTCTCGGCTGAAGACCTTGGTCCCCTCTGAACTGAGGACAGGCTGATCCAGAGACTGAGAAGGGCAATCCCAGGGGTTTCCCTAGGATATTTCTCCATTTGGAATAGGGCTTCCAGCACTAAGGCTTTTGTGTGTACGTGTGTGGAGAAGAGAGAAGTAGTGGGGAGCATAGTGTGGCATAGGGGCAGAAGTGAGGACTACAGAGCTCACTTCTACAGAAGGAGGCTACAGACCTGGGTTTCAGTCCCAAGTTTGTTACTCACCACTAAGACACCCTCTCCAGCTCTCTGGGCCTCTATTTCTGCATTTGTAAAATGGTGAAAATACAGTACTTGTTTCATGGGGTCGTTGTGAAGATTCAGGGAGGTGCTGTGTGTGAGGGCGTAGCCAGAGTGAGAACCAAAACCTGAGAATTACCTTAAGGGAGGCCTTAATTCAGGTTGCAGAGGGACAACCCTCCAGCCATCCCCCTACAGATGCGTTTGGTTTGGCCCTCATAATGTCTAAAAAAACACTAAATCAGTTAAAAATCAGGTAATTTCACATAAAAATTCAGATTTCTGGCTTCTGTTGAAAATGATGTTATTCAGCCATTAATTCAATTAATATCCACTGCTGAGCACCTACTGTGTGCCGGGCCCTGCCCTCAGGCAGCTTTCTTTCTGGGACGGCAGGGCAGCAGAGGGCAGGGCTGCAGCTGCTCCCTATAGCTTTCTACCTCACCATATCCACATAAGCCCCTGGCATCCCTGTTCCTGCTTGGCCCTGTGGCCATCTGGGTCTGTGACCCTGGCCTTAACTCTTTCCTTGCCCTCACTCCCAGCAACTGACAAACCACATCCGGGACACGCTGCCGGGCCTTCGGAACAAGCTGCAGAGCCAGCTGCTGTCCATTGAAAAGGAGGTGGATGAGTACAAGAACTTCCGTCCTGATGACCCAGCGCGCAAGACCAAGGCACTGCTGCAGTGAGGCCCTCCCCAACCCCCAACTCCCGGTCATTGAGAGACTTCCACATACACACATCTCAGCACCGTCCTCAGCATGGGGCTCTCCCAAGTCTCCCTCCACGGGCTGCTTCTGCCCCCTCAGGCCACTTCACTCTCCCCCCAGGATGGTCCAGCAGTTTGCTGTGGACTTTGAGAAGCGCATCGAGGGCTCAGGAGACCAGATAGACACCTATGAACTGTCCGGGGGAGCTCGCATCAACAGGATCTTCCATGAGCGCTTTCCATTTGAGCTGGTTAAGGTAGGGCAGGCTCCCTGACTCCCAGCATTCCCAGGGGCAAGAGGACTTAGGACACTCCCCGGCAGGAGAGAGTCTCTCTCTCTCTCACCTTTGCTGAACCCATTAGAATCCCTGATTCCCAGCCCTGGGACAGGTCCTATCATGACCTCCCAAGTATCAGTGACAGGCTTTGACCAGCCATCTCTCTGCTCTCCCACACAGATGGAGTTTGATGAGAAGGAACTCCGAAGGGAGATCAGCTATGCCATCAAGAATATCCATGGCATTAGGCATGTATTGGGACTGGGAAGGGGAGCTGAACCCTAGAAGGAAAGGGGGTCTAGCTAAGAGGCACAAGGAGTGATGAAGGGGGCCTCCCTTAGGAGGGCCCTAGAAGGCTGGTCCCCAATCCCCTGAACCCTGACTTTCTGGCTCCCATTTTGATAGGACCCAGCTGGCAGTGGTGGATGGGAGGCTTGGGTCACCTTCTTCCTGCAGCCTGCCACCTTCCTTTTCTGTCCCTGGGAGCAAGGCCTAGAGGCTGGACCATGTGGGCAGAGCCCAGGGCAGAGTTGCAAGGGAGGCACGCACTGGGGCTGAACTCCCTGCCCATCCCCAGGGTGAGTGCTCCACCCAGTCCTACCCAGGTGGGAGAGCAAAGCTGCCCAAACCACTGGGTGGGACCTGGGGCAGAGTGTATAGGTATTGGTCTATATTCCTTTGTGATGTCACCAAGGAGCAAGTCCACTCAACTCTCCAGACCCTCCCATATGCCCATTAGCCTGAAGTTGATACCATTTCACACCACTTCCCTCCTTCCAGCCAACCCCAAGGCCTGTGGATCAGAAAGGTGGATTGGGAAGTAAGACTTTGTTCCTTAAAAGCTTAGACCCCTTTCAGGGATCCAAATTTCCACTATGTTCGTTCAGCAAATCTAAACCAAAAACCAAACCCGTTGTCGTCGAGTTGATTCCAACTCATAGCAACCCTATCAACAAATCTAGTCAACAAAAAATTTTAAGGCACCTACTATGTGCCAGGCAATAAACAAGATCAAACTGTCCTTGCTTTCATGCAGGTTCCATTCCAAGGTTTGGCATGGAATTTGCATGCTGATAACCGCGCTGGCCAAAACACAGGAAAAAAAAAATCTCTCTCCTGCTCTTAAAATAAATTGCTCTATTCCTGGAAAGGCCCCTAAGGAGAACCAGTCTGGCAATTTTCAAACCATTTCTGGCCATAGAACCCTTTGTACGAACAGAATCCTAAGTGAAAGCATGACATATAAAACAGACACAAGCAGACTTTTTCTAGTCCCAAAGAACATAGACTGAAAGCCCCTCATTAGAATACCTTCCACCCATTTTACAGATGGGGACACTGAAGCCCAGAGAGGGGTAGTGGGAGGACCCTGTGGGTGGAGCTCAGGGGCTCGGGGAGGGGCCCTGGCCTGGCACTCCTGGCAAGAGCCAGCCTGTGACACTGTGCCCTTCTCCCGCTCTGGGCATTCAGAACGGGGCTGTTCACCCCAGATATGGCCTTTGAGACCATTGTGAAAAAGCAGGTGAAGAAGATCCGAGAACCGTGTCTCAAGTGTGTGGACATGGTTATCTCGGAGCTAATCAGCACCGTTAGACAGTGCACCAAGAAGGTAACCCAGCGGCCTGGGCCAGCCCCTGCCTACGCCCCCACCCTGCACTGCTGCCAGGCGCCCCTTCCCCACACCCCCCACTGCCTCCTCGGTAGCATGTACAGACCCCAGCGGGGTGGGGAAGGCAGCCTGCCATGGACCAGGAGAGGGGGACCCTCTGAGGGGGCGTCACCCACCTCCCTGGCCCCCAGGCCCAGAAGACCAAGGGATTAGACATTGATAAGACAGGTGTAATGGCTGGCTCTGAGCTCCTCCAGCTCAGGGAGAAGAAGTTTGAGGGGACTCTGAAGCCCCTTCTGGCCCTCGGAGGTAGTGTCACCTTTGGGGACTCCAGGAAAAAGTCTTAGGGAGACCTTGGTCCTGGAAACAGGTGAGGTACAGGGCCTTCTTGGGGGTACTCTGGGGCCTGGGCAACCAAACATGTGCAAAGGACCCAGGTTTAAGCAGGTACCCTGACTCCCACTGCCCTTCATCCTCCCCATCTTTACTCCACCCTCACTCAGGACCCTCACCTAGGACTATCCCCTTCCCTTCCATCCACATCTGGTCTTCCAGGGACAGAGCGCTCTCCCATCTTGCTACCTTATCTGAGCCTCACAGAACGACACAAGGAGGGCAGGGTAGGGAGAATGATGCCCATTTCACAGCAGGAACATTGACGCACAGGAGATCAAATGACTTGCCCAAGATCGCATAGTTAAGAAGTGGCAGAGCTGTTACTCGAAGCCAGAGCTTTGCACTCCAAGCCGAGTGCTCCTTTGATTCCACCCCACAACCTCTCTTCCTCTCCCCTCCCCACTATTGTCCTGGCCCCTCTCTATCACCACCTCCACTCTTTCTGTGTTTCCTCTTCTCTCTCTTTCTATCTTTCTGAGCTGAGTTCCTCCAGACCCCTTTAGAGGAGAGGCAAGGGGTGCCCCTTAAGGAGAAAGATGGGGGCGGTAGTGGAGCAGGGAGCTGGAGGGTCGAGGTCAGGCTGCCATGCTGCAACTCTGGGAGGCATCATCTGCACTGTAGCCTGTGTGAATGGAATCTTCTGGAGTCGAGCAGTGCACAGCCTAGGCAACTGGACAAAGCAACCCTGGTGAATGTAAGGGATAGTGCTGGGGGCTTTGGAGTTAGGATGAAGTGAATGCAGGGGGCACTGGGAAACCTAGAATTGAGCAGGATTGGTGAGTGGGGTCTTGGCCTTGTCCTGGTCTTGGGTCAGCCCTTTAGGAGGACCCAGAGCTGTGGACAAAGATGACACTGGAAAAGAGAAGGCAGGCAAAGAGTAGCTGAGGAGTGGAGGTCGGGGACAGGACACCAGGGAAAAGATCTGTACTCACTAAGGGGCCTTGTATGGAGCAGGGACTTGGCTCCTCAGACCCTCCATCCATACCCACGGAGTCCCGGCGGGTGCTTGGCTGCACCTGGGAGGTGCCAACCCTGGGTGGCGGTAGGGAGGGCCCGGTCCCATGCTCACATTATCTTCTGTTCTCTCTCTCTTTCTCTGTGTTGGTGTCTCTCTCTCTTCCCCCATGCCCCGTGCCATCTTCCCTGACCCCTGATTCGGGCCCTGCTTGGCTTTTACTCCCCTTCTTCTCCCTGCCCGCGGCTGCTCCTCTTCCTGTCCGTTCCTCCTCCCTGGGTGCAGGACGGGCCTCTTCACACCTGACCTCGCTTTTGAAGCCACAGTGAAAAAGCAGGTGCAGAAGCTCAAAGAGCCCAGTATCAAGTGTGTGGATATGGTAGTCAGTGAGCTCACAGCCACCATCAGAAAGTGTAGTGAAAAGGTATGATGGCGGCCTGGGCTGGGCTGGGCCTAGCTGTCCCCTTCTCATGGCCACAGCTTCCTGTGTGCAGAACCACCTGCTGAGCAGGACGGGCAGCCCCTCGGCCACCCACTGTGGACCTAGCACCCACTCTGGCTGGGTGATCCCTGGCCCTGACGTTTCATCCAGCTTGTAGCTCCGGGCCTACTTGCACTCACAATCTCTTCAGGCCCCCATCCCTGCTGACCCAAGCATCCTCAGTGGCTCCTTTCCACTAAGGAGATGGCAGCTGTTTATCGAGCACCTACTATGTGCCAAGCGTTGGGCTAAGTGCTTGCCCTTTCAGCAACCCTAAGGAGTGAGTAGTATTGTTACTCCCATTTTACAGATGAAAAAACTGAGTCTCAGAGAGGAAAAGTAATATACCTAGGGTCCCACTGCTAGAAGTACCAGCAGAGTGGGATTCGGATTTACGGAGGCCAAGGAAAGGGGTCTGGGGTCAGGGCCTCTTGGGATGGGGAAGCTATCCCAGTCCCTCAAAATCAATTTGCCTAAAAGCATATTGGAAATACTCACTTTACAGTAATCCATGTATATGAGGCAGGGTCAGCCTGTTTTGAGCTGTTTGTAACCTTTTAGATGCCTTTTTCCTGTTTGTGTTCTTACGAGCTTTTTGAGGATTTTCAGCCAGGTCGTCTGAAGAAGTTCTTCCCTGCCCAACAGGCTGAGTCAGAATCTCTAGGGGAGGACCCCACCTCACTTGTATTCGAAAAGCTCCTTATGCTGGGGAGGGGGCAGAGTTGAGGGGACATCTGCCTTAACATCATATTTTTAATAAGTTCCATAGTTTTTGTGGCTCATGCACAATTAGTCGTGTCCACCTCTTTCACAAGCCTGTCTCCTTCTTGCCTTCCTTTGTGTCTAATGGGGATAGAGTAAGCAAATGAGCACCCACCCAGTGCCTGTTCCAAGGCACTCAAATAAAATTGCCTAGTATTTACTGTGCCATCTAAACCATAGTCACACTGGATCATGAACGCTAAACAACATACTCTTACTGGTGTTAAACTTTAAAACACAGAGTTTATTGTAAGCTGCCTCAAACCCCTTTACAAAAGGAGACAAGATATAACGGAATTCAAAATAAAATACTGAGTTGGTTTTTAACTGTAAAAGTAATACGTTCCCACAGAGAAAATGTAGAAAATGCCCAAGAGTAAAAAGAAACAAACAACCCTCTTTCCAGAGAGCCGCTATTGAGATTTTTATACATTTCCTTCAAGTGTATACCTTCTTTTTTAAAAATGCAAGTATTAATACTGATTTTGCTCTGATCCTGCATGATTGTTATGAAAATATTCAAACAGCACAAATAAAGTGAAAGTCCCTATAATCCCACAACCCTAGAGATAAGGATCGCCAGCAGTACATCCTTCTCAACTAATTAAAAAATATATACAGCAATTTTAGGCTACATGAGATCATGCTACACACACTGATCCATGACCTATTCTTTTTTCCTGAGCAGTGCGTTGTGGAATCTTTCTATGTTGCTACATAAGGATGGGCCTCATGTTCTTTAACTGCTGAATTGTTAGCACTGAAGAAATGTGCTATAATTTATATATTCAATATCCTATTGACAGACATTTAGGTTGTTTCCATTTTTTTTCTTTTATAAACAATGCTGCAGTGAATATCCTTATAGATATATTTTTAATACTTATCCTGTTGTTTCTTTAGGGTAGATTTCTAGATGTAGATTGCCTGGTCAATGGATATAAGCATTCACAAGTTTGGTAACTGCCACAAGATTACCCTTCAAAAAGTTTTCACCAATGTATACTTCTTCAAATCTTTTTTGTTTTCCTACACAGAGATTTATTTTGTGAATATATTAACATCATGCTTTTTCTCTTAATAACATGCATTTTTTGTATTATTGCATCATCTACATAATCAATTTTAATGATTGCATAATATTCTATTGAATGGATTTACCACCACTTACTTAACTGTTTTCCTATTGGTGAACATTTAGATTGTCTCAAATTTTGCAGTATTATAAATAATCTGGCAATGAACATCTTGTGTATAAAGAGTTTTATTTTTCTTTATTTAGAATTATCTCCATAGGGTAGACTCCTAGAAGATTAATTACTAGATATAAACATTGAAAAACTTTTGAACACTTTGCTGAATTGCATTCCAAAAGGAAAGCAGTAATTCTTCTCCTTTTGTAAATGGTAAAAGTTTGAAAACAACCCAGATGTCCATCAAAAGGGGATTGATTATATAAAGTATCTCACAAATAATGAAAGACTGTAGCCGTTAAAAGGGCAAGGCATATTGATTTCTATTTACATGTCCCTCCACAACATATTACAAAAAAAAAAAAAAGCAAGTTTCAGAAATATATAATATTTGGGGGAAAAATAATATCTATGAATGATAAAACTATGAAAGCATATTCACAAATGGTTAACAGTTATTTCAAGAAGGGCAAGGAACATGGGGATCTTTCCATTTCTACTTTACAAATTTTAGTCATGTTTGAATCTTTAACAGTGAGTTTGTGATTTTTGTGAGCAGAATATTTAATCAACTAAAACTTTAAAAAGGAAAGCTTTGGTCTAAATGGAAGAAAATTATATTTCTGCCTTTGGTTTGCTTAATGGGCAGTAATTATTTTTCTTTATATGGCAAAATTCACCTAGCTCCATCTTTCTTTTCTTTTTTTTTCCTCTCCCCAAATTTTCTAAGCTTAGCAAACCACTTACTCTAGAGGTTTGATATATGTTCAATTCTAACTACTCCTAGCCTTGCTGGTATTCGATTTTGCATCTCTGGATGGAATCTAGAGTTTACTGTGAAGAATGGCGTGTGCTACTCAATACTCAATCAACCCTGAGGGGGAAGATGACATTAGTGCTCCATTTTACACACGGAGAAACTGAGGCTCTGAGAAGTTCAGTCGTTTTTCTAAGGAAAGTCGGCAGGGCAAGGGCTGGCTTTGAACCCAGGGCTGCGTGGCTCCAGGGCCTGTGTCCCTGACCACTCTCCTCTCCTGCCCCTAAAAGGTGGGCTCCAGGCTGGCAGCCCTGCTCAGCTTCCCTCTCCTCCCGGCCAAGGATTGAGAGAGAAAAGTTCCATTTTAAAAACTGGCTAAAAGTCCTGGAAATGCTCAGAGGCAGCCAGAATGGAAAAAGACGCTCAGAGGGAACAGAACTTCTCAAAGGGGCCAAAGCTGCCCTGTCATATATGACTCGCGGAAAACTTGAGAAATGTAACATCCAGGCGGTTAGTGGGAGAATTGGTTATGCTCTTTGGCAAATTGCTCCTTCTCCCTCCACTCTTGCCCTCCCTCCTTGCTCCCTCCTCACTCTGGGGGAAGGGGTAAGCTCTTAAGACCACCTCAGAAGAGGCCTCCTGGTGGTGGCGGTGGTGGTGACTCAGTCGCCAAGACTGCTCAGACTTGGGAGACTCCTCGCTTCCCCCACAGGACTGCGAGATGGAGTGGGAGCCCCTCCTTGTACCTCATGGGGCAATGGGGTACACTGGGCACCCCCAGTCATTGTCTTTAGCCCCTGGTCTCAGGCTGCTCCCCTCCCAGGTCCCCTGCACTTGGCTGCCCCTTGGCATAGCCACAGGATGAGCAGGATGTGGGCATCTCTCACCGTCTGCCTCTCCTAGGCTGGCATCCAGGGCGCCACTTCCTCCCCCATCCTCCTGCCTACCCTGATGCCTCTCCCATCTCCTTGGCCTCCGTCTTGCCCTCAGAATCACCACCTATGCCTGTGACCCAGGCACACCAATCCGCAGCTCTCTTCCCATATAGGAGGACCCACCTGAAGGGACTGACCCAGCCATGGGAAAGGGGGCGAGGAGAGGTTCTAGCTTTGCCTGGGACCCACATGGCCACCAAATGAAGAGGGAGGGCCAGCAGTAATGGCGGTCCCTGTGGATGGGCTCCCGTTATCATGAAGCTCAGTGAGTCCTCCCTGAGGAGGAGTTGGTTCATGAGCCAGAGGGCAGAGAAACCTGTGTCCTCTCACTCTGGCAAGGAAGGCCAAGACATCCATCCTTCATTCATTCCCTCATTCCTTCAACATGCCCTTGGTGAGCATGGGCAGTGTGCCCAGCCCTGCCCCTGCCTCTGGAAGCAGCTGACAAGTGATCAGGCAATTAGCACCCAGTGTGATGAGTGAAGGATGGGGGATCTTGGGGCAGTGGGGAAGGCTTTCTGGAGGAGGTGGTGTCCAATGGAGTCTTGAAGGAGTCAACCTGGGCTTTGTCCAGAGCTCAGCTGAGCTGAAGGCAGAGGTCACACAGGTGGAGGGAGAAGGATTTGAAGCAAATTTCCCCTTCAGCCTCAGTTCATGAAAACTGGGGGGAAATGGGTGCTGCTGAACTCCTACCCCAAAGGTGTGGAGTAGAGACAGGTTGGATGGGCAGCTCGGAGCTGGAGGCAGATGCGGCTGGGGGTGATGGTGCCAGGCAGGGGCATGCCAAGGGAGGCAGAACCAGGTGGGTTCCACCAAGAGGGTCTGGAGCCCATCCAGGCCCCGCGGGGTACTGCTCATGCTGCTAGCACCCACCTCCGCATGCCACCCCTCCAAGCCTTGCATGTCTGTGCCTGAGGCTCCTGCATGTCGTTTTGTGTGACTGGTGGTCTTCCCCTGCCTACCCCCTGGCTCTGACAGGGAGCATTGCTTGTCCTCAGCCTGGCTCAGGAGGCCAACTGGCACTTTGAGTCCTGCCTCCCCCCATCCCGCCTGGATTGGAATCTGAAGGCTATTCCCTACCTGATTCTCCCACCTGAGTATGCCCTCTAAGTCCTTGGGAAGGCATGGGGTAGCCCTGAGGGCCAGTGAAAGTTTTGGAAGCTAACGGTCCCCCAAACAAAGTCCTCAATCTAATATGTCTGTTTCTATGATGGCTGCCACAAGATGGTGGCCAATGAGCAGGCTGGTTCCCATAGCATTTCTCCCCATGGGAACTGTCCCTTCCCCCTGAAGTTGCCATGGTAGGCCAGTGAAGAGGTCCTGGAGCCAGGAAGACCCTTGGATTGCCATTTGGAACCTAGCTCTCAGGGAGGGAAAGAGTGGCCGTGGCTTGGTGCCATCAGCTTCCTGGGACCCCAGGTCTCTCTTTCTCTCCTCATGGGCATTCTGTGTGTGCCTCCCACCCCACACCCCTTGGAGCACTGGACTCTGGTGGGGTTTGGGTGCTCCCTGCCCGTGCCCCCCGTGTACGTGGCTCTCTCCCCTCCTGTCCTCCCCCAGCTCCAGCAGTACCCTCGGCTGAGGGAGGAGATGGAGCGCATCGTGACTACCCACATCCGGGAGCGTGAGGGTCGGACCAAGGAGCAGGTGAGGCCTACGGCACCTCCTGGCTGAGCTCCACACCCTTTGGCCTCTTCCCTCACCTTACACTCCTGTCCCTGGGCTCTCTTCTTCTTCCCACGCTGTCTTCTCTGTCTCAGTCTCCCTCTCTCCTCTCACACTAACTCTCTGCTTCCCTTTCTTACTCTGTCCTTTGCAACTCTCTGGCAGTCTGTCCTGGTCATTTCTCTTTGGGTCTCTTTGTCTATTTCTATGGATCACCTTACACTCCTCATAGCCACCTCCCTCCTTTTACGTAGTCATTCATCAAATAGTCAATCACAAATATATTCCCTGAACGCTGCCTCTGAACTCGGAGGACCAGAGATGACAGGCCTCTGTCACGGCCTTCACGAAGCTCATAGGCTAGTCCCTCTCTCCTCATCCATCTGTCATCTCACTGTCTACCCCTACCTATGGCTTCGGTTCTCGGCATCTATTCTCACACATCCCTTCTCCACAATGGTGCTGTCTCCAATCACTCACATTTTTGTTGTTGATGTTGTGTCTTAAAATCCTTATTGGTCTTTTTTTTCATTATGAGAGTGATAAATAAGAAAACATTCAATCAATATAGAAATGGCTGAATTACAAGTAAGTATCCTCCATTGGGAAGGAGTCCTGGTGGTGCAATGGTTAAGCACTCAGCTGATAACTGAAAGGTTTGCAGTTGGAACCCACCCAATGGCTCCATGGGAGAAAGACCTGGCCATCTGCTTCCATAAAGTTTACAGCCTAGAAAATCCTATGGGGCAGATCTACTCTGTTGCATGGGGTAGCTGTGAGTGGGAATTGACTTCACCGCACCCAACAACAAGAATCCCCCCATTCACTCTCCCCACCTCCCCAATCCCTCCCATGAGATAACCAATATTAACAAATGTGGTGTGTTCCCTTCCAGACATTTTTCTAGGAATGCGCATACACACATGAGTACACACACTCAGAAGATTCTATCTTTATCTTAAGGAACCCTACTGCTGCTGTGTCTTGCCTTTTTTCTCTAATGATAATTAATAATAGTTAGTAGCTAACATCGCTTGAGCACAAATTGCTCGCCAGATACGTGACCTGCCTTGTCTCATTGTCTTTTCACTAGTCCCCACAAGGCAAAAACACTCCAGGTATGGAAACTGAGGCTCAGTGAGGACCGCTCTCAGTTTCACATTAAGCAGCAGGGTATAGGCTTGAACTTGACAGTCTACATCCAGAACTTTTCCCTCATCATGACACAATTACGAGTCCCTTCACACTTAACCATTTCTAAGGAGGATCTTTCCACTGCCAGAACACAGAAATCTTCCTCAATCTTTTTAACAGCTGCAAAGTGTTTTATTGTTTACAGGGTACTATAGTCTGTTTTGACTTCTGATGACCTTCGGTTTGTTCCCAATTTGTCTCTATTACACCACATTGAACACCTGGTATCTTTGCTCACTTGATGAGTTCATCTGTGAGATATAGTTCTGGAAGTATCTGTGTGCATTTTAGTGTTGTCAAATATTGCCAGATTGCCCTCCTTTACATTTCCACTGACAGATGAGAGAGTCCACCTGCCTACATTCATGCCACACTCACCATTATCAATATTTATCATTTATTTGATAGGTTAAAAAAGGGTCTCATTGTTACTTTAACTTGTATTTCTTTAATTATTAATGAGGGTGAGCATTTTTTACATATGCTTATTGGCTGTATGCATTTCTTCTATGAATTACCCATTCATTTTTTTGATTATTTTGATTTGTGTTCCTTGTCTTTCTCTTATTGATTTGTAGGAACTCTTTATTTATTATGAATACTAACTTTTTATATGTGCTGCAAGAATTTTTCTCCCTGCTTGTCATTCATTTTTAAACTTGGTGTGGTGTCTTTTCCATTTACCCTCTGACCATCTGTGTATCTTTGAAGGTCATGCTCCTCATTGATATTGAGCTGGCTTACATGAACACCAACCACGAGGACTTCATAGGCTTTGCCAAGTGAGTGCTCCCTGGGCAAAGAGGGTGACACCTCTTAGGTGAGTATGTGTGTGTGTGTGTGTGTGTGTGTGTGTGTGTGTGTGCATGTGTAGGACCCAAATCTACTGGGTTAACCCTCTGGGTCCACTGCCTATTGAGTTGGGCCCCTTGAGAAAAAAAGCTCTGAGACTCCTCCCCTGTCTCCCCATTAGTGCTCAGCAGAGGAGCAACCAGATGAACAAGAAGAAGGCTTCAGGGAACCAGGTGAGTGGGCACCAGCATCCCAGCCCGAGGGATGGAGGGTGCCGGATGTACGCCAAGCTCTGAGAGTGCCCTCCCCTGAGGGGAAGGGTCCCATGGGGGCCAGGGAGTCTGTCAGCCACCAGCCACAAGCCTCCCACCCTGCCTCAGTAACCCTCTCTCCTCTCTCCCGATGCCTCTCGTGGTTGCTATGGTTACCTCTTTGCAGGATGAGATTCTGGTGAGTACCAGGACTGGGGCTCTTGGCTTGTGCAGTGAGGGGGAGGAGGGGACTGATCGGTAGTGGGGGATGTGCGGGGGGCAAGAGGGCACCCTTTGGCTTGAGCGGCTTGCGCACACTAGTGCATAGGTGTTCCACACATGCTCTCAGGCCAGAGGCAAGGCCTAGCCACATGCACAGTCCCATCAGTCTGTTCATCAGTGTGTATGAGCTAATCTCCTGCTTCAGGCAGCGTTAGACCATGCAGGGAGGTGGGTGGGTATAAAAATGCCTAGCAGAGGCCTGGCACAGAGTAGGTGCCCCTTAAACATCTGTTGGATGGATGGATGGATGGATGGATGGGTGGATGGATGGATGGATGGATGGATGGGTGGGTGGGTGGATGGATGGATGGGTGGATGGATGGATGGGAGGGAGTTTTTAAGAAGCTGATAGCCAGCTCCACCAGAGAGTTGAATAAAGAAATGAATGAAATGTCAAGAGACAAAGCCCCTCTTTACCTGGCTTCCTGCTCTCTGTCCCTCAGAGCTGTAGAGTCCTGAGCTTTTATTCCCCCATATGTTCCATAGGAGGTATTTTCTTCATAATAATCTAAGTGTTTCTGTGATTATTGGTTTAATGTCTATTTCCTTCCCCAGCTTCATGAGGGCAGGGGCTGGGTCTATCTTGTTCATCACTAAATCCTCAGCCCCAAGCCCAGTGCTTGACACACAGTAGGTACTCAGCAGAATGAAGGAATTATTGAATGGAATATTTTGGAGCAATTCAGTTCAGCAAATATTCACCAGTATCTACACTATGCTGGGCCCTGGACAGGTGTCAGACCCTATCCCTGCCCTGTGGAGACCTGGTCCTGCAGGCAGGGCCCAGCTAAGGGCCCCTGAGAGCCCCAAGCAGGGTGGGAGTTAGGAATGCAGACGGTCCCTGGTGTAGGGGCTCTGGAGGGGTGTTTGGATGAGCAGGCAGGGAGGAGTACGCGGCTGGGGATGGCTAAGGTGAGGACAAAGGCTGCAAGTCCCGGCAGAGAGCAGGTTGGTGAGGTCTGCTAGTCAGATCCTGGGACAGAGGCAGGAGAGGAGTCATGGGATCCTGGCTATTGTGTTCCTAAGACAGCTTTGGTTTCCCCTCAGCTTAGCTACTGTTCTGCTATATGACTTGGGTTCTCTACAAGGTTCTCGGGGAAGCCAGAGATGGGGTAAGGAGGGCTCCAGGCGTGCTGTGAGGACCTCAGAAGCAAGCCTGGCTTCCTTTCCCACCAGCCCCCAGCCATCCTCAGGTTTTCTCTGGCTGCTCAGAGGAGAAGCCAGGGATGTCTGGGTGAGGGGAAGGAGAAGAAGCAGCTCCTTCACCCTCTCAGTCTGCACCGGGCTCCTGAACTCAGGTCTGGCCCACCACCAGGGCATGGGCAGTGGCCTTGTCCTTGGAGGAGAACTCACAGACCCTGGTGTGTGATGATGCCTCAGGACAGTTCTGGGGACAGCTGCTCCCTGCCATGAAAAGGAACCTTTGCCTTTTACTCTGAACTTTACTTGGGAAGAAGGGGCCTGGGCTCTTTCTGACTCAGCTCCTTCACCTTTCCTCTTCTCCCCACCACCCAATCCCTGTCCTGGGCCTGGGGCCCAAAGACTCTTAGAACCATAGTATGTATCATTCATTTGTTCGTGCCACAAGCATTTACTATCACTTACTGTTTGCCAAACACTCTGCAATATGCTGAGGATTTACTAGTGAATAAGAAAGTTCATAATTTAGCACGGGAGGCTTACACCAACAGATAATCACACACACAAAGTTAATTGAAAAATCTCAGTCAGTGTCATTGAAGACTTAAGGGAGTGATAAAAGAGTATAATAATGGAGGTCCTTATTTATACTGAGGAGCCAGCGAGGGCCTGTCTGAGAATGTGACTTCTGAGCTGGTACCTAAAGGGTGAGTAAGAATTTGCCAGGCAAAGGCGGAGGGGAAGTACTCTCTAGGCAGAGGCAACAGTGTGTGCAAAGTCGCTGAGATCAGTCCAGAAAGTCTTAGAATAAATTGGAACTTAAGCTGAAAAGGAACTCAGAGTTGTCTTGCCCCATCTGCCACATAAACTCTGCTTGTACACTTTTAGTGATGGGGAGCTCATCCCCTACCAAGGCCATTAGTCCCTTACCCAGAACGTTTTGACTGTCAGAAGGCTCTTTATCCTGAGCTGACCTCTGTCTTCCTCAGTTTCCCACTCTGTTCACTTGTGGTTCAAACCAAGGCAGGTTTGGCCCCCACCTTCCCTGACCAGGCAGTCCTCCAAAAGCTGGGGAAGGGGTGGGCTTTTGAATGCTTCTCTTTGCCCACCCAGTCCTCCATGGGGAAGCTTGGCCCCTGCTCACTGACCTCCTGGCCCCTCACCCTCCAGGTCATCCGGAAGGGCTGGTTGACCATCAATAATATTGGCATCATGAAGGGTGGCTCCAAGGAGTACTGGTTTGTGCTGACGGCCGAGAATCTGTCCTGGTACAAGGATGATGAGGTGAGCACAGGGCCCCTGGTCATCAGGGGGCCAGCTGGTGGCCAGAGTTGGGCTCATATCCTACCATGGGCTTGGAGTGGATTGGACACCCAATGGGGATTTTAAAAAAATTACACCAAAGACCCATGGGAGGGGGTGGGATGCAAGGATCAGAGGCAGGCAATCCTGGGGGCTGGAGGGGGGTGGCTGAGGAGTTGGCCCTCTCATCCAGGTTGTAAGGAGAAGATGGCTTGGTAGGGCTGAGGAGCCTGGGGCTAAGGGCCCTGGAGGGGTGGGCAGGGGTGCCAGGTACCCCCTCACTGATCCTGTCAGCCCAGCCTTCCTGTTTTCCTGCTTCAGGGCGTGCCGCCTCCTCCGTGGCCCCCACAGGCCCATGACACATACAAATCCCGCTGCCAAACACCCTGTTAACCCCTGCACCCCAGTCCCCTAGAGCTTAGCAGTCCATGAGGGATTCTTAGGGTGCCTCCAGGCCGAGGGGGATGGAGCGATGGCAGCCTGCAGAGCCACCACACAAACCCCACCCCCACCCCCACGCCCGCCCACGAGAGCACACAGAATCCCCCTGCCACCCCCCTCCCCTGCTGCTGGTCTCCTTTAAGAACGAGTGTACTTGGCTTCCACATCTGGATTCCAGAGGTGACCAGAGAGAAGGGGAGGGCTGGGGGGGGCTTGTGGTAATGAACTCCAGCTGGCAAAAGAGTGGGGGAAGGGACCCTCTTTTTCCTAAGGGGCTGTTGGAGGATAGGGTGCTCTCAATGGGAGAGTGGGGCTTGGGGTGAGGGCCTGTGACTTTGGTCTCCAAGCCCCCCCTTGATCCCTGCCTCCTCCAAGTCTGCCCCAGGAAGGCCCCCCTCCTCCTCACCTTGGGCGGGGCCCTCTGTCGTCACTGGCGGGGGTGCCAAGCCATCTGGACCTCATTACCCCAACCCTGGCCTCTAGCATGAGCACCAGGGCCACTGGAAGGGATGGAGTGTGAGGTGGCGTGGGGCTCCAGTAGGGGGGTCGCTTCCTGTTCTGTCATCCAGGGAGGCTCCCTAGACACCCCCCAGGGACGGGGGGCCCAGACTGCTGGCCCCACAACTCCTGGTGCTTTCATTTTGGGGCGCCTAACACAGGGACAGGGTGATAGTGTGACCTGGGGCTGAGGGCCTGGACTGGATGCACTGTGGGGGCAGGGATCAAGTGTGTCTGAGAGGGGCCCCCTGGCCTTATACCTGGATGTGCAGGTCTGTTTTGAGCTTTGTGCGTACAGCTGAGTTTTTTCAGGTGTGAAAGACTGCTTGGAGTGTGTGTGGGGGTGGGAATGGAGTATAGGTAGTGAGGGGTGGGGTGTATGTGTGAGGGTGTGGATGAGGTATGCGGGTGTTTTGTGGGAGAGTATGTTGGAGGGTAAGTAGCTAGGTGTGTTTGGAATATGAGGGTTTGTATGCGTATTTGGGGAGCATGTATTTGGGGTTCGAGTATGTGAGCTTGGTGTGACTCTCCAAATGTGTGTCTCTGCTCTTGGTGTGTGTGTGTTTGGAGGTGGGCTTGAGGAAGGAGGGTATGAATGTGAAATATTTGGGATTTGAGAATATGTGTATGTGGTTGGGATGTCAGGATGGGGAGGAAGAGTGGCCCATTGTGAGGGGTGTGTGTGGCTGTGTGCGTGTACATGCATGCGTGTATGCACTTGTGATACGAGCATATGCTTGGAGCATGAATGTGTGATTTAAAGTTTGGATGTGTGAATGTATGTGCCTGAGTTGTGGGGGTGTGAGTGTCAAGGTGAGGCTGTGTGTGTGTGTGTGTGTGTGTGTGTGTTTGGAAGTGAGCGAAGTTTTGCACTAGGACAGCTGGGGACTTGGAGGTGGTCTGGGCAATTGGGGTCCCCCTTTATCTACCCAGTCATCAACACGCTGGTCTTTGGTGACAAAGGGAGACCCTCTGGGCAGACAGGCAATTTCCCGTATCCCCAGCCCTCATTGACCCCCCATCCCTTCAGTCTTCCTCTATCACTTTCTCCCATCACCACCATCACCCCCCACCCACGCTGTCCCACAGCTGGGTGGCACCCCCAGCCCTCTGCGCCCCCTCCCAGCCCTCCCTGTACTACCCAAGCCCCCTGCCCTGGCTCCGGGCTCCGGATCTGGGATGGCGGGAGGGGATCCGTCCAGCTCTTCAGCGTCGGTGCCGGTGCCGAGGGTCTAACCCAGCCCAGCCTAACCAATGTGCAGACTACTGTACAATTTGGGAGTCCTGAACAGATAGTCTAAACACTGGGTAGACGGAGTGGAGGTGTCCTCTGGTCCATCCAGGCAGTAGTGTCTGTCCATCTGATGGGAGCTTCAGCCCCATCCTCTGGAGATCCAAGCCCCCCCCAGCGCCAGCGCCAGCCCCAGCTCCAGTATCCCCTCAGCCCCAGCCCAGCCAGCCTGGTCCCCTCTCTGCTCCCGACTCCCCTTCTGCCTCCTTTGACGTGGCAGGGGTGAGCGGGGAGCTGTGGCTGGGAAGGAGGGGCCTGGGGAGGGGGCCAACCGGCAGGAAGGGAGGGGTGGGGGGAGGAAGCCGCTCCTACCTAGTGTCCAACCCCAAAGCGCAGGGCGGGTGGCGGCGGGACCTCCCTCGAACGGTTCCAGATGTTCCCTGGCCATGTGTGCAACTTCCTCCTCTCCTCCCCCAGCCGCCCTCTGGGGCTCCTGGCCACCCGCCTGGCATAAAGAAGGCTTTATGTGGCTGGATGGGCCAGGCGGGTGCAGGGGGCAGAGAGGAATGGGCAGGATGACACTAGTAGAAGGGAGCAGGGTCCTCCTAAACCCAACCCCCCACCTGAGATTCTGGGTGGGGCTCCTCCCCAGCTCCTCTGAGTCCCCAAGACCCACACAGACCCCCTACCCCCGCCCCAGGCCGCAGCCCTGCCAGCATGGCATAGGTCCTGTGGTGTTGGGTGGGCAAGCTTCCCCTCCTCCCAGGCCCCCATCCTGGGGTCCCTCCTCCCCAGAACCTGAACTCCCTCCTCTTAGACATATGTCAGCTCATGCCAGGTATATACACGTGCACATAGTCCTAGCACCCTACACACCTATGCACAGATTCATATAACTCTCCTCCAATGCCTACAGACAAACCAAACACATACAGTCCTTTACACAAATTATCTGCACATAAATATGTGTACTCACAAAACATGTCACACAGGCACACTCATGCAAACACACACAATCGTTACACATATCTGCAACATACACTGATCACAGGCACATATCTGCACTGATCAACAAATGGGCTCACACTGTCACACAGCCATGTTGGGCACCTCCCCAGACACACACATGCACACAACACACACATTCATGCAATACAGACAGATGGGTGCACACACACAATGGTGACAGGATCTGTACTGAGGCTTGCATGCATTTGCACAAACACATAACCATGCACATGTTGTACATGTAGACACACCATCTCCAGGCTCAAGTTGTACGCCTGATTGCTAACACATAGGTGGCTGGGGGGAGTGGGCTGAGCCAGCCTTTTGAAGCCTCTGGGGCTAGCGGCCCCCCTTCCCTGTCTTTGAGGCAGGAAATGAAGTCAGAGGCTTATCCAAAGCAGGCCTCGTGGCCTAGCAGCCAGGCGGAGTCCCTGCCTGAGGCCGGCCTGGCTATCATCCAAGGCTTGCTTGAGGGGGTGTGGGGGCCAGCCTCAGCCTTGCCATCCTGAACTCCAGGGCTTGCGCCCATCTACAGAGGTGGTGGGAATGGCCTTCATCAGTCAGTGCTTGTAGAATGTGAGATGCTGGTATTCAAAAGCCTGGATCAGGCTGGGGGTCTACAGCACAAGGAGTATGCCATCATGGAGCACTCTTAGGGAGTGAGCGTGGCAGGAATAGCGCCAACCTCACCCGTTGCTCCTGCCCCTCCTCACAGGAGAAAGAGAAGAAATACATGCTGTCCGTGGACAACTTGAAGCTGCGGGACGTGGAGAAGGGCTTCATGTCCAGCAAGCATATCTTTGCCCTCTTCAACACAGAGCAGAGGTGCCTACCTGTCCCTGGCCCAGGGCTGTGGGGGCCCCAAACTACCCTCACTGAGTAGAAATTGGGATACATAGCTCCAGAGAGGAGAGGAACCTGCCCCAAGCCCCATAGCAAGTCATTCATTTGACAAATAGTTATTGAGTTCCTACTCTGTGCTAGATGTCATGTCAGGTCATCCCTTCCTCCCTCGCTTTCTTCTACAGTCATTTGTTTAGTACCTGCTCTGCATGAGACACTCTGCCAGGCCCTGGGGACAAAGTAGAGACCAGGAGCCCCCTGGTCACTAACTCATGTTGCTCAGTGTCCACTGGGATCAGTAGCAATACCAGGCCTCTCAGCTCCCAATCCAGGGCTGACTCTAGTGGGTCCTCTCCTAATCAGTGATGAGGGCTCAATGCAGCTACCCATCAGGGGAGTCCTCTGAGAGTCAGGGAGGGAGCTGATTGGGGTCCAAGACCTAAGCCAGGGGGCTGCACTGTCTTGTGGATGCCCCTTTTTTTTGAGGGCTCAGTCCCTCTCTAAGCATTTTACTGCTCGTTTCCCTAAATCCTCACAATGACCCTAACCAAACCAAACCCACTGCTGTTGAGTCGATTCTGACTCATAGGGACCCCATAAGGTTTCCAAGGCTGTAAATCTCTACAGAAGTAGACTGCCACATCTTTCTCCCAAGGAGCCACTGGTGGTTTCGAACAGCCAACATTTTGGTTAGCCATCGATCGCTTTAAACACTGCACCACCAGGGCTCCTTCACAATAACCCTAGGAGGCAGGAATTACTATTATAATTAACCCATTTTCTAGATGAGGAAAACTGAGGCTTGGAAAGAGAAAGAGACTTTCTCAGGGTCACACAGCTGGGAAATGAGAAAGCCAGGACTAGACCCCAGGCCTGATGACCTCACCACCCATGCAAGCCTTTAACCACCAGGGAGGGTGAGCTTCACCTCGGTCTCCCCTCACCGCCTGCCCAATCTTGCAGGAACGTGTATAAGGATTATCGGCAGCTGGAACTGGCCTGTGAGACCCAGGAGGAGGTGGACAGCTGGAAGGCCTCCTTCCTGAGGGCCGGCGTGTATCCCGAGCGTGTTGGGGTAAGTGGCAGGGCAGGGAGGGGAGGGACAGTCTGCTCATACAAGAGGTCCCTGGGGCACCATCCTCAGCGATGCCAAGCCATGCCATGTTTCTGAGCCTTTATTGGGCTCAGCAATATCAGGGATCTCCTTGCCCACCTGCCCTGGAGTGAGATTCTCCAATGGCAGTTTTATGTGCCCCCTTCTCTCCCACAGAAGGCATTTCTTGCATCCCCTTCTTATGGTGGTGCTTTGACTGCCTTCTCCTTCCACAGCAGTATCTTTGTCCCCTCTTTCACTGTGGCAATGTCTAGAATTGCCTTAGAGCTGGGATGCAGTGCCTGGCTTCACTCAACCTCTCCCCTGTTCCTTTGTCTGTGTGTCTGCTTTGGCCATGCTCCCTGGTGGCGGTGGTGGTGGCAATGCTGATGTGGTGGCCTTTGTGACCTTGGCATGGGTCTCCCAGGACAAGGAGAAAGTGAGTGTGCCCTTCCTTTGCCCTCTGCCAGGCCTCTCCTAGCCTGGCACCAGTGCTAGCCAGGTCTTCAGAATCAGAAAGAAACTTGGGAAACCCTGGAGGTGTTCTTTTCTAATTTATGGATTGGGAAACTGAAGCAAATTCTAGGCCCTAGAGTCACAGCAGAAACAAGGCTGAAGAAAGGGAGTCTGGGGCCCTGAGAGGCACTGTGGTGGGCAGAGCCCAGAGACCCAGAGCCTATGAAGAGCTTAGTGTCTGTACGTTAGGGCCAGGTGCTTCTCCTCTCTGTTCTTCAGTGTTCCAGGCCCCTGTGAAGGGGCTAAGACTCTGCACTGGGGGCTGGAGCATGGCAGGGGCCCTGTGAGACTGGGTGGACCTGGCCATCCTGATGCCCCTCTGTTCCCTACGACAGGCCAGTGAGACCGAGGAGAACGGCTCAGACAACTTCATGCACTCCATGGACCCACAGCTGGAGCGGCAGGTGGAGACCATCCGGAATCTGGTGGACTCATACATGGCCATTGTCAATAAGACCGTGCGGGACCTCATGCCTAAGACCATTATGCACCTCATGATCAACAATGTGCGTGGCCTGCTGCGTGGGGGATGGGGTGCTCTTGTAGGACCGAGGCAGATAGCTAGTTTAGCCTGAGGCAGGCACTGGCAGCTAGCCCTGGGGAGCAGATCTAGGGAGGAGGCATGGTCTAGACCAGAGCTGCCCAATAGGAATATAATGTCAGCTTTGTATATAATTTTACATTTTCTAGTAAAATAAAAAAAAAAAAAAACCCATTGCCATCGAGTCGATTCTGACTCATAGCAACATTTTCTAGTAGCCATGTCAAAAGAAGTAAAAAGAAACAAAATTAATTGTAATAATATATTTCATTTAACCCAATATATCCAAAATATCATTTCAACATGGAATTAATATAAAAATTACTAATGAGACCTTCCACATTCTTTTTTTCATACTAAGTTTTCCAAATCCGATTTGGTCACTAAATTTTCATTGTCAATACTTGATCTGTATTTAGATTTCATGAAATTTACAGTTGAAAAAGTAGATTCACATACCTAAGTTGTTCCAAACATACTTAAAAAGTTTTACAATAACTGAATCGAGTACCAGTTGTTAAATTTATACTAAAATTTAATTAACTAAAATAAAAAATTCAGTTCCTCATTCGCACTAGTCACGCTTCCAATGCTCCACAGTCACAGGTAGCGGCCATATTGGACAGTGCAGGTCTAGACCTCAGGGCCAGAACTGTTGAGGGAGGCAAGGGTCAGCGCTCTGAGGCCAGGTCTGGTGGAGAAAGTGTGGTCCAGACCACTGGGGCAAGGTATGGTGGGGGAAGGCATGGTCCAGCGCTCCAGGGGGTGAGGTGGGAGAAGCATAGACTAGCTCTGTAAGACTAGGTCTGGGAGAAAACACGGTCCTTATACAGGAAGCACATGCTGGCCCCCTCTATCCACAGTCCCAGAGAGGGGAGCCCCCACCCTATAACAGCCTTACACATATCTTCACCCAGGCCCCCTCAAAGGCTCCTTCTTAGTCCAGCATGCCCACGTTATATGCATCTGTACTCTCAAAGCCCTCATCCCTAGCATCCCCTTGGCAGTCATTAATGGTACTTCCAGTGGGTCATCCATGCTGGGTACACTAGGGAAGGGAGGGGTTACTAACATGAAAGCAGTGGTCAGCTCCTGGCCCAGTGAGGGGTTCTGCCACAAAACAATCTGGGGACAATCCCTTTCTCTTTCTGCTCCAGATTGCTAGTTCTCTTCAAGTTGGTCCCTAGATTCCAAGAGCCCCTCTGCCCTCAACTCACAGCTCAGACATTTCTGTGTATCACACTCAACAGCAGCATTCTCAAACTTCACTGTGCATTTAATCAAGGGAGCTGGCTAAAATGCTGATTCCTGGGCACAACCCCCAGGAGTTCTGATTCAGTAGGTCTTGGGAGGGTCCGGGTACCTGTATCTTTTAAGAGCTCCCAAACCAGGCTTTGAAATACACACCCCACAGCACCACCACAACCTGTGGTTTAGTGAAAAAGCATGGCCCCAGGAGAATGAGAACTGGGTTTGAATCCTGATTTTGCCAGGAATTCCCTGTGTGACTTTGAACAAATGAACTACCCTCTCTGAGCCTCTATTTCCTAATATGTAAAATATATATAACAGCACCAGCCTCACAAGGTTGAGGATCAAATGCATATAAAGTGCATAGCAACACACTACCTGGCACATAGTAGGTGCTCAACATACATCTGAATAATGAACAAAAAAGACACAGGCCTATGGAATTAAAAAAAAAAAAACTCATCCTCTCTCCATGAATGTCCCAGAGCCTCAGCAGTGTAGCAACTGGAGAGCTCAATCCAGGCACGCATTTAAACTTATTACTCTTGTTTCTCAAGAGTTCAGAAAATTTAAAGCTCTCATCTTTCTTATTTTGGTCCAGTGGAGAGTGCAACTCCTTGGAAAGAGTACAACTACCCCATTTTACAGATGAGGAAACCGAGGCTCAAAGAACCAAGTAGGCAGGTGTCCTGGTGGCATGATCGGTCCTGAGTCTCCTCCCAGACCTGCACCTTGGACAGGTCACTTTTCCTCTCTGGTCCTCAGTGTCCCCATCTGAGAAAAGGGCAAGGGTGGGGGGAACTCCGAGTTTAGGAGGTGGTGAAGCTACTTATGAAACGCCAAACAGCCAGGCTCTCAGGCCAGCATACAGTCCTAGCAAGGCCAGGCGGGGCGTGCGGGGTGGCTCAGATGTCGGGTCTCAGTCCCTTCTCCTCCTCACCCGCTGGCAGACCAAGGAGTTCATCTTCTCGGAGCTACTGGCCAACCTGTACTCGTGTGGGGACCAGAACACTCTGATGGAGGAGTCGGCCGAGCAGGCGCAGCGCCGCGACGAGATGCTGCGCATGTACCACGCGCTGAAAGAGGCCCTGAGCATTATCGGCGACATCAACACGACCACCGTCAGCACTCCCATGCCCCCGCCTGTGGACGACTCTTGGCTGCAGGTGCAGAGCGTACCGACCGGACGCAGGTACCAGGGCCGGCCCCCACGGCCCCAAAGCCCCCAGCCCGGGGCCCGCGGGAGGAGGGCCGGGACCGGGCAGTGGCGCGCCCGAGTCACCGGGGCGGCTCCCACCTGGAGCGAGGGGCGGAGCTTAGAGAGGGGCGGGGCCTGACGCGGGGCGGGGCTTGCCGTGGAGCGCTGGCTGCGAGGCGGGGCGGGGCTGGGGCGTTGGCGCCGCTGGGGGCGGGCCTTAAACTTCAGAGAGAACGGTGGGCGCAGCGGGGCGAAGCTTGCGTGCATGGGCGGGGCCGGCACTGGGCTGGGGGCGGGGCCTCAGGTTGGGGCGGAGCTACTCATCTTTCCCCTTTTCCTGTGCCCCGCTCGCTGTCGTCTGCAGATCGCCCACGTCCAGCCCCACGCCGCAGCGCCGAGCCCCCGCCGTGCCCCCAGCCCGGCCAGGGTCGCGGGGCCCTGCTCCTGGGCCTCCGCCTGCTGGGTCCGCCCTGGGGGGGGCGCCCCCCGTGCCCTCCAGGCCGGGGGCTTCCCCTGACCCCTTCGGTCCTCCCCCCCAGGTGCCCTCGCGCCCCAACCGCGCCCCGCCCGGGGTCCCCAGGTGAGTAGGGGCTGAGTGCGGCGGGAGAGGCCGCGGGGCTAGACTTGGCTGGGAGAGTGTAGGGCAGTGGAGAGGCAGGAGCCCACCTAAGGGGCCGGAGCCGGATTCTAGGGCATCAGCCCTGGCGGCCAGAGATGGCCTTCTCCATCCAAGACACTCGGACCGTGGATGCCGAAGCTACGGGGTGTGTAGCCGAGGGCTGACTAAGCCTGGCCTGGCCCCCAGAGAGCGCTGAGTCCCAGAGGTGGTCGTTTCTGGGGAGGGGGCTGTGGGACTAGTCCCACCTGCCCCCTTCTTTCCAGCACTTGCATGGCGCTTCCCCCCTTTTTCACTTTTCGCAGCCTTCCCCACATTGTATTTTTCCTCCTTTTCCCTTCTCGCTCTCCTCCATTCTCCATTCAGTCCTCTACTCCTCTCCCAGCCCCTGGTGAGCCTTCCTCGGGTCTGAACCCAGATCCTGTCTGGATGTGTGGATTCCGTTCAGTTACACTCAGGGCTACCCTGATGCCCCCGCCTCCCACTCCTGACACTATTGAACTGCCCCAAGGAGGTGTTTGATCTCTGGCCCACAGGAACATAGGCCAGGCTGTGGCTGTATGACCAGCAAGGTGTGTGATGTGCGTGTGGGCGTGCACACTGGCATGTGAGTGTAAGAGTGGCACCCAGGCACCAGGTAGGGCAGGGATCACCTGGGGAAGGGGTCTGGGAGCCATGAGGTGGTCTGACAGCTTTTTTCCCTCCTGCCTCTGGCCCTACCTGGCCTAGATCAACTGGTGGAGGTGGGGGCAGGAGTGGGTGAAGGCTGTCCCATTCCCAGAGATTTCCAAGGAAAATGATTCTACTTCACTCCTTGGTTTTGCCTTCCAATATCTCAGTCTGCCCTGTTTCCAATGGCCACGTTCTCTGAGGAAGAACACATCAGACCAATAGCATCCATTTGTTTCCAAATGGCTGAAGGGTAGGGCCAAGGGACTTGCCTCCATAGACCCAAAATAAAGCAGGGATGGGATTTGCTCTCTGGTGATCTGATGACAGAAACAGATGGGGTAAAGCTGCAGCGTGGTATTGGGGCAAGAGCACCGGACTGGGAGTCCAGAGATACTGGTTCACCTTAGGACTTGAGGCAAGTCATCTTCTCTTCCAGGACTCAGTTTCCTTTCTACCAATGATAATTTTCTGCCTTTCTCCCAGGGTTGGTGTGGGAATCAAGGGAGACAATGGCTATAGGGATGCTGCATTAACTGCAAATCTAGTTGTACGAGCACTTTGCTAACTGCAAACGTGAGTTCAGATTCTTCAGGGTATTTACATATGCCCAGTTCTATGCTGAGGTGTGGTATAATGAACTTAAGATATGGTACCTGCTCTTAATTCTAGTCTACCTAACACATGGGAAACATTTGGCCCTGCCTCAGAGAAGAAAGCAGTCTGGAAGTACTACTTAAAGGAAGCTTGACCTCAGTGAGGTGTGGGGGATGACTGAGATAAGGGTCAAGTGGTAGGAGGAGTTGGGAGGGCATTTGGGCAGGGAGCAGCAATGTGGGTGAAGGTTCAGTGTCGGATGTGTTGGGGAGGGCCGCTGGCCAAAGAGTACCGACAGAGCAAGGAAGAATACGAGGAGGTTGCCTGCGTAAGGTGAGACAGGTTGGAGACCCTTTAAAGTCCCCAGAGAAGTTCTGACTTGTTGGGGCTCAATGCTGTGGGCCATAGGGAGCCATGGAAGGCTCTTGGGCTGAGAAATGGCAGCTGGACCCTAAGGAAGGAAGCCCTGCCCCTTCTGGAGCAGTGTGGGTGGCTCTCTGAGCACACCAGGCACAAATGTACAGGGAGCTGGTGCAAATGCCTTCTGTGTGCAGGCGAGCTTCTGTGTTGTGACTCAGCCCATGTGCGTGCTTCTGTGTGCCGAGTGGCTGCATGCCCCAGATCCATGCTGCACGAGCCAGCCAGTGAGGGTGCTGGGCAGTGGGGGGAGGGAGGCAGGGTGTATGTGTGTTGTTTGTGGGCATGTGTGTTAGCGTGTGCATGCAGGGCCATGGGGCCTCACAGCATGTGTGTGCACGCCCAGGCGTGTGCGTGTGCGTGTCCCCGCCCCCTGGCCTGCCCCATCTGTGCGTGTGAACTGCCATGTTGATTTCGTGCTGTCTTTCAGAATCACTATCAGTGACCCCTGAGGAGCGTCAGCCATGGTAGGTACATGCCTCTCCACCTGCTGCATGAACGGTGTGTCTGCCCCCTGCTGCACCAGCTCCACACTGGGGGGCACACCTGGGACCTCAGAGCCAGGCTCCCCTCCCTCTCCCTTCTGCAACTCCAGACTTACTTTTTCCTCTTTCTGTCCTCGCCACCAGCTGGCTCTCTCACCTCCCTCCCCGGCGAGCCTTGGGACTCAGTACCACTGCCCAAGACCTCTATGGCTGAGCCTAGAGGGCTCTGGGGACAGGCTCCAAGCCCAAGCTGGAAGACATGGGTTCTCTCTGGAGCCATTAGAGAGGTCACAGTTTATGGTGAAGTGGCTAGGAGCTCTAAGGAGGTTATATGTGGGGCTAGACTCTGAGGCAGCCAGAGGCTTTGAACTTCATCCCAGGGGATGCCACACCCATCCCCCAATCTGAACCGCGCTGCGGGGGCGGGGGTGGTCAGGGTCCCACCTCCTATCATGCCAACAATTTAGCAGTGATCTGGGGTGAAGTCTCAGATTGTTTGATGATTTCTGAAAGCCTGAGGGTCCTATACACACAGCCTGTAACACACCTCACAGGTGAGGCAGAGACTCCTTGGTATTGTCAAACCTGCTCATATGTGACTGGTGGCAGCATCTTCAGCCCCAGATGAAGTGCCAAAGTCAGCCATCGGGCTCATGGACTTTGGCTTGTTGCTCCTAGGGGCGACCTATACTTTTCAGCTAAGGGGACGACAGTGTCTGCTTACCTGGGCCTTGCCCAGGGCATCAGCATCTCTGAGTTCTGCCCAAGCTGGGCCACAAAATTTGCCCAGCTCACCTGCCTGCCACTCTGTCCCCGCCACTGACTCTTGCTCTTCTGCTTTTCCCCAGCAGGAAGGGCCCAGCCTCACCTACGCGACCTGCAGTCCCCCGACCAGCTGAGGCTCCCCTGTTAGACTTATAAGCCTGTGGCCACTGGCATCCAGCTGCTTGCCCTCTCTGCCTCCCCCAGGGTCCCCTCAGATTACCTCTGGGCTTTCTGATCACCCAGAGGGGCCTCCAGTGTTCACTGTAGCCACCCCTTTTAGGTTCACCCTCCTGGTTCACAGTTTTCTCCCATCTTTCGCATCAGGCCTGGTGGCTGTTGCATGGGGCTCATGACCCCATAATCCCCGAAGCTAGGGGTGGCCCTGGCTCAGTGGATTGGAAGACATGGTGGCCAGAGAAGAGGGAGACAGCAGGGAAGCCAGAGGGGGCAGAGCATGTGTTCTAGAGGTGTGGGTGCACTGCCTGGGTGGTGTGTGAGAGACCAGCGTGTGTGATAAGGAGGGCAGCCACCCCAGACTCCCTGTGAAGTTCTGGCCCCTGCCCAGCTCCAGCCCCTCCCCTTCCATCTTCCCTTTTTTGTCTTTTTTCCAGAAATCTTGCCCCACATCCACACCTGTGTCTTCTTCCCATGCCATCTCTTCCCATACTGCCATGGCTTGGCTGCTCTTGCCTTACCAGCTTTCTCCCTTCTTTTCTCTCTCCCATTTTCTCTTTGCTTTCTCTCCAACTGCCAGCCGATCGGGTCAGGCAAGTCCATCCCGTCCTGAGAGCCCCAGGCCCCCCTTCGACCTCTAACCAGATTCCTCCTATTCCTCGGAGACTTCCCTTTCCAAGCCTGCCTGGATGGCTGTTCTGTGACTTAACAGTGGCTCCCCCAGCCCCTAAGCCTCCCCTTTTATCCATGACTTAGTCTGTTGTAGTGGTGAGCTGACACATTCAGGCGTGACATTGGTGAAAACTTGTGCCCCTCTGTGGTTTTGCTCCCGCCCTGTTCTATAAATATCTATAAATACTCATATATGTATATATATATATATATATGGCAGACACAGCCCTGCCTCTAGTGTTGGGATTCAATCACTGTGCTGTCCTTGTGGAGTCTTGTGGCTCAACTACCAGGGAACACTGTCGCCTTGACATCCCCCCATCCAAAGTGTTCCACCTCCAGTGAGCCTCCCTGTCATGCCCAGCCTGCAGACAACCAGCCCCTCTCCACCATCCCTCCCATCCCTTGCCCCCTCAAAGCATGGGGGTGCTGTACTGGCAGCTGTGTGGTTCTCTGGTCAATACCAGTCTTGATGTCTCTTGGCTGAGAATAAAACCCATTTCTGGACGATGTGTCCTCTGCTGGCTTGTGCTCTCCACAGAACTCAAGGGGGGAGGTGACAGTTTAAACATTGGGGTGGAGGGGAGGTGGTGAGCCTAGCCACTGCTAGGATGTCATAAGGAGTGGCAAGAAAAGGCCACATCATTTCTAAGGCCTACTTGGAAAGCACCTGGAGTTTTGAGCCTGTGCTTATCCTGTGAACTTTGCTCTGGCTACTAGGAGCAGGAACTCAGCCTAGAGGAGGATGTGGGGCTCTGGAGGGATAGGAGGAATAGGCTACAAGACACAGACAGGTGAGATGGGCCTTATGATGGCATGGAAAAAGCCTGGCACTCTGCTTTCCCTCACAAGGAATAGAGACCCTCCATCTGTAAAAGTGGGCAGGACAGAAAACTGTCCCCTACAACCCCCATGGCAGTCCCCCATAGAATCCCCGACTTTACCAAGCAGTGTCCGAGCCTGGAAGATCTCCAACAGCCCCACTGGACACACTCAGACACACCGGGGCCCCACACAGTCCAAATGACTGCCCTCTGCTGGCAGGACTGGCTCCCCAGCTCTGCCCTCCACACAGATCCCAGCACCCAGTGGGTGGCAGGAACACTCAAGGCCAAGCAGTGTTGGCTGAAACCATTTATTCCGAAATAAAAAGCAAAATAAATAGAGGAGTTGATCACCGGGGCACCAGAACCCCATCCCCACCTCCTTCCTCTGTGCTATACTATCAATAAATAAGTTTCCCCATCCCCTAAATAATTATTAGAACCTCACACTCATTTGCCAGCTCCATCCTCTCCTGTGATACAGGGGACCTGTATCCTCTGGAATATACAAAATGTTACACAGATACAGTATATACACTGGGGTAGGGAAGCCCTTCTCACTACCAGCCTAAGCCCTTCCCTGGCCTGCAGCTGAGTCCCAAGGCCTGCAAGAGTGTCACCCTCCACTGGCTGGCTGGAGAAGGTATGCACTGGTGCCACAAACTGCCTCTGAATAGAGGGTGCCTGAGCCCAAGGAGAGGATGTCTAAGCCTCTCCCTAAATAGAGGATATTTGAGCCCCTTCTGAAAAGAAGAGATGTGAGCCCCCCTTGAACAGAGGATGCTTGAGCCCACCCCTTGAATAGAGGGTGCCTGAGTCCCACCCCATAAAGAGTGGGGGCTTGAATAGGTGAAGCCCCCACTTGAGTAGAGGGTTCAGCACCCCCCCCCTTGAATAGAGGGTTCACAGCCCCCCTTTAATAGAGATTCATGACCCTCCCACCTTGAACAGAGGATGCATGAGCCTTTTCCCTAGAAATGCCTGAGCCCCCTCCACTTGAATACAGCATCCCTGAGAGTCCCCCACCTTGAATAGAAAGTACCTGCCCCCCCTTGAAAAGAGGATGCTTGGGCATCCCTCCTTGATAGAGATGCCTGCCCCCTTTAATAGAAGATTTATGAGTCCCCCTTTAATCTTCAGCCTTCCCCCTTCCTTAAAGGGGACTTGCATGAATGCTCAATTTCGATGCCTTCCCCCTTCCTTGAATAAAGGGGACTCTATTTGAAGTTCATGAGAGTCCCCCTTTACTCAAGGAAGGGGAAAGGCATCGAAATTAAGGGGGACTTGCATGAATCCTCTACTCAAGGAAGGGAGAAGGCATCAACACTGAGGATTCATCTGAATCCCCCTTAATTTCGATGCCTTCCCCCTTCCTTGAATAGAGTTCATGAAAGTTCCCCTCAGATTTTGATGCCTTCCTGCCTCCTTTAACAGAGGTTTTGTAATATTTCCCTTTTAAAATAAATGCCTCCCCCACCCCTGCCCTGACTCGATGGTGCAGGATCCACCTTTACTATGCCTGCCATTTGGTGGTAAATAAGTCTTTCTGCTAGAATAGAAGTTGGCCACCTTAAAGAGATTTCCAAGTCCCCATTTGAATGAATAGTAATAAGTTTTTCTGCTAGAATAAAAGTCTGCCACCTTAAAGAGATTTCCAAGTCCCCAGTTTGACTAGATGGATTAGTAAGTCTTTCTAGTAGAATAAAAGTCTGCCACCTTAAAGAGATTTTCAAGCCCCCCATTTGACTGGATGGTAGTGTTTATGCTAGAATAGAAGTCGGCCACCTTAAAGAGATTTCCAACTCCCCGTTGGAATAAATAGTAATAAGTGTTTCTGGTAGAATAAAAGTTTGCCACCTTAAAGAGATTTTCAAGTCCCCCATTTGAATGGATGATAATAAGTGTTTCTGCTAGAACAGAAGTCTCCCACCTTAAACAGATGTCCAAGTCCCCCGTTGGAATGGATGGTACATTAATTAGTTCTTTCTGCTAGAATAGAAGTGTGCCACCTTAAACAGATTTCTAAGTCCCCCCTTGTAGAGATTACCAACCCCCTACCCTTTAATAATGCCTGGGACCCCCCCATTAATAGACATACCCAAGCCCTCCCTTAAATAGATCCCAGCCCTCCCCTCTTAAATAGACATACCTGACCCCCCAACCCCAGTCTTGAATAGAATGCCTGAGCCCAAGCCTTGAATATGGGATATTTGGGCCCCCTTGAATGGAGGATGCAGCCCCCCCAATAGAGAATACAAGCCCCCTGGAAAAAGAGCTGCTTGGTGGGGGCTCTTGGTTTTTCTGAACAAAATAGACATATCCCAGAGATGAACAATAAGCCTGGCTATGGCATCAAGGTGTGTGCACCTGTCTACCTCCCTACATCAGGCAGAGAGTTCACCCAGTATTCCTATGTTCCTACTCTAAGGATAAAGGGATAGCAGGGAAGGAGTGATGGGGAAGGGGTGCCAGGTAAAGGGTGCCAAGGAAGGGGTGGGGGCAAAGCCCCCGACCCCATTGTGAGGTTTAGATCATCAAGACCTTTACCTCATCATTATTGTCAGGACGATAAAAGAACGGAATGCATGGGTTTTTGCCCAGGCCTGGGTGTTCCTGTGGATTTTGGATTTCCCGTAGCAGCTGCATTATCTGCTGAGCAGTGGGGTTCTCAGGAGCAGCTTGGACTGAGAAGGCCCCTCCCTGAAGAGGCTCCACATCATCAGCCAGGCTTACTTCGTGGAGGCCTGAGAAGAGAGAGACGCAGGGCTCTGAGCAACATGCAAGTTCTCCCCTGCTTCTGCCTGCTACCCGCCCTTCCAAGGGCCCTACTCACCTTGGCCATCGGCAGGTCCAAGCTCCTGAGGGGCTGGCGGCGCTGTTGTGTGCTCACCAGTAGCAGGGCTCTGGGAAGCAGCTTGGTATTTTTGATACCACTCATTCTTCTCGCCTACCAGCCGTAACACCAGTTTTTGAAGCTCCAGCAGCTTCACCTGGATGGAGACATACTCAGCATCCCTACCCCTGCCCCAACCCCAGCCCCTGCCTCCACTCCTGTCCACAGAGATGTCAAAGGCCCCTTACCTTCATTTCTTCCTTGTCCTGAGCCAGCCGCCTAATGTACTCCTCCTTTGCACGGTGCCGCTCCTTCAGCACTGCCCTCTGACTATGGTACAGGGCAACATACTCGCCTGGGGAGAGGGAGGGCAGGTGGATGGGACTCAGAAACTGGGGCTCCCTCAGGTCCACCATGTGCCTCTCCCCGCCATGATCCCCATCCTCCCTGCTCACCGATGGTGTCTGTCTCTCCCGATAATTGGATGCAACGATGTTCTAGCTGTTCCAAACGTTCCTGCAGATCCACTTTCTCCCGCATGACATCTGAAAATCGGCCCTTAAGCCCAAACAATAGGGTCAGGTTGCAGCAGCAACCTACCCCCACCCTCCTGGCCCATGTCAGGAGACACCTGCTCACCTGCAGCTTCTCCATGGCCACTTGTATGGCCTGGTGGGTCTCCCCAGACACGCTGTCCACCCGAGTCCCGGGGGCTAGGGCCTTTGGTTCACGCTGGGACGTGGCCTCTAGATGAGCCAACTGCTGGCAGCGTAACTTTTGCTCTTTTAGTTGTCCCCTCAGCTGCGCCTGCTCTTTCCTAGCACTGGCTAGGGCTGAGTTAAAGAAAGCCACCTACAGGCAAGGGGTAAGTGTGTGCTTTTGTGGGGAGAATACTGAGGAAGAAAACTGGGCAGGGAGGCAGGAGGAGCCCCCCTCCCATCTCTGAGCCACTGTGGCTTACATGTTGTTCAATGGATGGAGTGGTGTCTGATCCACTGGGTCCCAGGGGAGATATAGGGATCAAGAAAAATCAGAGGGTAGGGAAACCAAGAGGTGTTGGGAGGATCACAGAGGGAGGTAGGAAAGGTAGGACAGAGAAGGAGCAGGGAAGAGTCAGGCTCACCAGGGCATCTCGGCTATCTAGGTCCTCAGGGATGCTCAGCTCTGGCTGGGAAGCCTCTTCATCCTCTTCCTCATTGTCCAGCCCATTTCCTGTTGGGAGCAATCACAGGGATTCTCACACCACCAACAAGAGAGGTAGAGTGGGCCCAGATATTTCTCAGGGCCCACCTCTGCCACTGCCTCACTGTACAACCCTGGGCCAGCCACTCCCCAGAGGAAAATGATTAGCTATCCTAAAGGCCTCTTCTAGCTCAATTCTACAATGCTCAAAGTCCCCGTCTCCCTCCTCAGCCTCTCTCCTCTCCCTCTGGGCAGTCTCATTTACCCTCCTCAGGCACAGCCATGTGGCTCAGCTGGGCCTGCAGCTGCTGGTTCTGCTGGCTGGCAGCTTCCAGGCGTTCCTAAGGAGCCAGGGAAGACAGTGAGAAGGGGCAAAGGTTACCAGGTCCTCACACTCAGGGCCTCAGTACTCAACAACTCCCTTACCTGGGTCTGCTGCAACTCTTGGCGGACCACCTCAGCTGCCATCTTTCTCTGCGCTTCCTCAAGCTGCAGTTGTTCCATAAGCTGAGTCTGCAGCTGTAACTGTTTCTGCAGTGTCTCCTTCTCAGAGGTAAGATTTTGATATGCAGCCACATGCTGCTGATAGGCGGCCATGTACTGCTGCAAATCACTCAGATACTGGTCTCGCTGTTCCTGCAGACTGTGAGCCTCTTGACTCTTGACTTCCACCTGTGGGAAGACCCTGGGAGTGAGAACAGGTAGTAGCTTGCTCCCAGACTCTAAGCCATATAGGGAAGGAGAGGCACAGGCCCTTGGCACAGGCATTGTGGGCTCTGCCACCTGCCCAGGCCCCTGGCTTCCTCACTCCATGGCCTAAGTGATTGTCTCCCTTCCCTAGAGTCTCATGCCTTCACCCAGCCTCACACCTTATAACCTTCTTTCTCACCACTTTAAGCCACAGACTGGCGGAAAAGCAGAGAGAACCAACTGACATCTGTTAAGTTCATAGTATGTGCCTAATACTATATATGCATCATCTCATTTAATTCTTGACATCTCTATGAGGAAAACGCTAATATCCCTTTAAAGCTAAGAAAACTGAGGCTGAGAGATGTAAAGTGAATAGTGACCAGTGGAGCTGAGATTAGAGTCCAGGTGTGAATCCAAGGAGCCCCCATCATGCCACCATCTCTTTCTCTATAATCAGGGACTCAATGACTGTAGGTGGGAAGATGATCTATGGCCCAGAGCTACCTACCTCTAAAAGTCAGAGGGCAGGGAAATAAATAGTCATGGGCTCTGTAGGTCTCTGTGGCCACTTGTCCCATGCCCCTCCCCCCACTGGAGCTGGCTCTCTGTCCTGGCCCTGGCACCCAGCTTCATCCCTGCACCAAGCACCTTCCCTCCCCATAGGCTGGTGCCTATTTTCCTAGCCCTTCTCAGATGGGGCAGGGGTTACCGTCTCCTTCAGCTCCCCTAGCTTCTCCTGTAGCTGGCCCAGCTTCTTGGCCAGCTCCTTCTTGACATGCTGCTCCGACTGAAGGGCGGTGGTCAACTCCACGTTCTCATTGGTCTGGGCAGAGAGAAGTAATCAGCAGTTACCCAATGCAGCTGGAGCCCCCAGAACTTGGTGTCCACCTCACCTCCCACAGCTCAGATGAGGGTGGAGGCAGGTTGGAAAATAGTATGCCCTCACCCAACATCAACCAAGCAGGGCTCTCTGCTTCATAGAGTGCTATCATAGGCACCATTTCACATGAGGTCTCTATACCCTGTTTTACTGATAGGGAAACAAAGGCCCAGAGGGTTAAGTGTCTTGCCCTGCACCAAGGGACCTGACAAGTAAGGAGTGATGAGGGCAGGCTAGCCAGGCAGGGCTGCGCACCAGCCTGACGAAGCCATCCTGAAGCTCAGCCAGCTGTTCCTTGAGGTCGCGGTTCTGGGAGAGAGCACGGCTGATGGTAGTGCGGTCATTCTGCATAGTCTCCAGAATCTTCTCACGAGCTGCCTCTTGCTCATTCCAGCACTCAGCTATCCGCTGTAGCTCCCGAAGCTTCTGCTCCTGCTCCTGATTCTGGTGAGTCAGGGTCTCATTGTCTTTTAAGTGGAAATGCAGCTGCCCTGTAAGTCTCTCTAGCTCCTTCTGCAGTCGTTCAGCCTCCGCATGCAGCCGCTGTTCCTCCTCAGAGGGCCCCGGAGGAGGCTCCTCAGGTGGGGGGACGGCTAAGAAAGGAAGCATACAGTAAGGGCTTCTCGCCTCTGTAGTCTCAAAAAAGCCCTCTTCTTGGTCCACAGTTCCTAATCCATGCTTCTCACCCTAAGTCCTGGTTCCTTGCTAATAACTCCTCACACCTATACAACGTTCGAGACTTCAAGTCACTTTCAAATACAGTTCCTATATTATTTTTATGCTCCAGACAACTCTGGGTATTTGACAGTGGGTACTCCATCCCCTTTTCACAGATGGGGACACTAAGGCTCAGAGAGATTATAAGACTTGCCAAAGGATACACAGCAAGTCAGTGCCAAATCCTGGTACAGCCTTCTTTCCTCTTTACCACAGTGCCTTATTTGTCCACCCACCTCCCTGGGGTATTCTAAGCCATCCCCCCTCACCAGCCCTCTGACACGAACCCTACTCACAGGTGTCTAGCCCCAGCCTACCTGTCTGGTTCTTGAGTTCGGCCAAGCTGGCCTCCAGTTCCTGCACCCGAACCACACCATGCTCCTTCTCTTCTCCCAGTGTTTGCACCTGCCCAGAGCATGGGGAGAAGGAACACATGAAGAGAGGCAGGCAGGGAACAGAACCATGATTCTGGCTACAATCTCCCTCGCTACCTTTACCTCTAAAAAACAAAACCACATTTGTCAAAACTCAACAGAGTGTACAACATAAATTGTGAGCCGTAAAGTAAGCTATGTACTTTAGTTAATAATAATGTATCAACATTGGCTCATCAATTGTAACCAATGTACCCCAGGAATGCAAGATGTTAATAATAGGAAAAACCCTGTGCATGAGAGAGAGGGGGTATATGGGAGCTCTGTACTTTCTGCACAATTTTTTTGTAAACCTAAAATTTCTCTTAACAATAAAGTCTATAAACGCATACATACCCACCTCTGGCTGTACACCAGACCAAGTGATATGGTTTCCATTTTACAGTTAAGTAAACAGAAGCCCAGAAAGATCAAGTGACCTCCTAAGAGGGGGAGGGAAACAAAGGGTCAGACCTTACCTGCTCTAACAATTGTTGTGCCTGCTGCCGCCAAATGGCGCTCTCTGTTTTCAGAGTCTCTGCATAGTGGTCTCTCTCTATCTGCAGTTGCTTCACTATCTCCATGAGCTGCAAGAAGCGGCAGAGGACTTAGGAGGGGCTGTTACTGGTCCTCACCTGCCCCTAGCCACCTGGGGTCACTTGGGGTCATCCTCCTCCCACATGCTTCCCTCTGCAAAGCCTCACCTGTTCTATACGGCTCTCCAGCTTTGCTTGCTCTGCCTGGGCCTGCTGTAAAACCTCACTTTTATCAGACGCGCTAGAGATCTGGATGAAGAAAATGAGGTTAGATCTGGGGAGGACAGGCAGGAGACTCCAGTGGAAGAAAGTTACATGAAGGCACAGCAATGCTCAATGTGAAAAAAAAATGGAGAAGAAGAGGCGTTCTGACCCAGACACCCTGACTACCTGGTGGCTACTTAGCCAAAGTGTTGGCTTGGCCCCCAGGAAAAAGTAAACAGACTCATGGGCCAGCCTTAGAAATGTAATCCATAAAACAATGGTTCTCAAGCAGGATGCTTTACAAAATTTTTAAAAAAAGCCCTACCCCTGAGATTTTGATTCTGCAGGTCTGGGCAGGGCCCCAGTCTGTGGATATTTATCACTTTCTGGAGGAGGTTCTATGGCAGGACCAGAACAAGGATCCAAATTTCCCAGCTTCTGGTTGGAGATCAGGATGGTCTCTAGAAGCCCTAGCCCCAGCTGGATGAGGCCAGACTCTCTGGAGCTCCCAGCCCCTCACCTGTTGCAGCAATAGCTCTGACATCTCTAGCTTCTTCTGTAGCTCCTCCACTCCATGCTGCATGGCTGTTTTCTCTTTAACCAAGACTCGAAGCTTCTCTGTCAATTCAGAGTTCTGCTGTGCTAGGTCCTCATTGTTATTGCTTTGGCCAGTGAAAAGTAGAGAAAGGTATCAGCAATGAACAGGAAAGATCACTTTGGTGATCAACCCACCTGCCCTTACCACAGAACAGTGGCACTGGAAGGGACCCCGGAAATCAAGAGAGTCAAAGTGACACAGAGGCTATGAGTTGTCCGAGGCCACAGAAGAAGGCATGACACAGTGGGACTAGAGCCTGTCTCTGCATACTTCCAAGCCTCTACGACCACCTCACCATGCTCACTTGTATCCCTCCCACTTCCGACCATACCAGTTGAGCCAAGGCCGCCGAGCCCTGCCATCCCACCTCCCTCATCCTACCTCTGCTTGAGTAACTGCAGCCTGAGGCTATCTCGGTCTTGGGTAAGCTCCTTGTTGTACTGCATATACATAAAAGTTAAGTCAAGATTTGGCAGGCAGAAGACGTACCTCTAACGCTAATAACAATAGCAACAGTAACTATAACACTTCTTGAATCCCACTTTACATTTTTTTCAAAGCATTTCCAAGCGCATGTCCTCATTTATTTTTAAAAAGTACTCAGTAAGGATGGAAGAGGCAGGTAAAGGCATCTAATTTCCAGCTAGTTAACAGGTCCAGAGAGATCAGATAATATTGCTGTTATTATGATCATTATCATCACTGTTTGAACAGCCAACATTTATTGAATGCTTTACCAGGTACCAAGCTAACATCTTATACACACAATTTCACTTAATCCTCACAACCACCAGATCAGGTAGTTACTATGATTATCTCCATTTTACAGACAACAGAAACTAAACATTAGTGGTTAAGATCACAAAGGCACACTGGGATTTGACCATCCAGGTCTGTATGACTCTATAATTACATTTTTTTCCCCTGGGGTTGGGGTGGGGGCAGACATGAGTGGAGGAATTGAATTTTGTATTTTAATCTTTTGTTCATTTTTTAAATAAATTATACATTCATCTGGTCCAAAAGTCAGAAGGCAGAGAAGTGAAATGTCTCCTAGCCATCCCATTCCTCTCCCATAAGCCCTAAGTTTTTTATGAATCCTTTTAAATATATTTTGTCTATATTACACACATACACACTTCCTCCTGCTTTCTACACAAATGTAACATACTAAAGATACTGTTCTGCACCTTCACAGCCCAAGCACCATATCCCTTCTGGGCACTTGCCCAAGGCTCACAACCAGTTAATGGCAGGGCTGGGACTTGAACTCTTGATCTAGTGCTCACTCAGTGACAGCAACCCCAACTCACCCATGGCAGCCCACTAATCCCTAGGCTGGTTCTAACAACCACACAACTAAAACACCAAGAAATGTCCTATGCTGCTTTCTGGGCAGCAAGACACTCCATCCTGCAGGAGAAACCTTCAGGCTCACTCGGTGGCGGGTGGGGCTCACCTTGTCAGTCTGCTTTTGTTGTTTGGAGACCGATGACAGAGTCCTCTCCAGCTCTCCTATGCGCTGTCGGGAAGTCTTCAGGCGATTGGTAACATCCTCCAACTCTCCTGGAATGAGAGGGGAACAGAGATGGAAGCCCAAAGAAGGAGTGCCACTGAAGGGCTGACAGTGTGGCAGGTAGGGTTAAGGGATGTCCCAGACTCCCACCTGCTTTCTGTCTGACTGCGTTCTGAGTATGGACCAAAGCTGTGTGTAGGTCCGACTTTTCAGATACTAAGATACCAATAGTCTGGATGTGAATCTTTGAGAGAAAAGACGAACAAGTAATGAAAAAGAGGAAAAAAAATGTTTTCTAGAGGATATGAGGGAATACTATAGAGTACACTCACCTGCAATTGTTCCCTGAGAGCACCCTGTTCCTTTGCAAACTTTTGCTCAAATTCTTTTTTATCCTGTAGGATGAGGGGGAAAAACATCCCTTACTGGGAGGAGGCAAAAATGGAACAGCAAAGGACATGCCATCAGAATGCCACCAACGGGCCAGAACAGGCCCACCAATGAGCCAGATTATCAGGGGCTGTTGGGGCGGGGGCGGGGGTGTGTGGCAGAGGAGGCGAGCCCTTTATTTCTTTAACCTGGGAGTGAGCAAAAAGCCTGAGGCCTCTATGTCTGAGTCCTCCCCCAAATCTATCAGCGATGTAATGAGCAAACAAAGAAATCACATTACTTTTTCTCGTTGGTCCATAACATCCTGGTTTTGCTGTTTCTGTGGGGAGAGCAAAAGCAAGGTGACTGAGGCGGTCCTCCTTACTACAGTCCCCAGACCAAGAAAGAAGGGGGCTAGGGACCAGAAATGGGTCTTAAAGGAAAAGTTCTCACGCTCTACGGGGACTTGAACTGATAAACTCTTCTCAAGTTCCCAAGGAAAGAGAACTTGGGTCTTCTTTGGCTTTCTCTCTGAACCTGGCTTCCTTTCAAGGGTCAGTAACATAAACCTCTAGAAATGGAGTCTGAGAAGGGAAAGGCTATTCTTCTACTAGCTTGTGATTTGGGAGAGTGTATTCAATCAACAAATATTTACTGAGCACACACTACAGACCAGATACTGTTCTTAACAGCAGGGACAGAGGAATGACCAGGATACACAAGATCCCTAGTCTCTGACATTTACACTCAAGTGGACCTTTAAATCTTTCATTTTTAGGGTTAGAAGGGACCTCAGACACCATCTAATTCTCCAACTCAGGAAATTGAAACCCAGGGAGGAGCGGTGACTTGGCCAAGGTCAAACACAGGGCAAATTAAGGGCTGGGTCAGGGCTGCAATACACGCCTCCTGACGCCAGTCAGGCTAGTGCTTCCACTGAGAGGCAACAGCTCCAGGGCAAGGGTGGGGAGAACTCAAGCTGGGGTGTCTGGAGAAGAGAGAGTGGGAAAAGAGGGAAGCAAAGGAAAGAGCCATGCTGCATGCTCAGTGCTCTGGGGTCCCTCCAGCTGAGACCTAGGCCCCCCAGCACCCCAGTCTCCCTTGGTACTAGGGGCCCCCATCCCTTTTCTTCAGAGCCCCAAAGATAAATTGGAGCCCAGGATGGGGAGCATGAAATCAGGGGACCCCACTGGACTCTTACCAATTCCTCTATCTTGCTACTGAGTTGTTTGTTTGTTACAGTACTCGATTCCAGGGCAATTGAAAGTTCTTGGTACCGGTTCTGAGGCGCATGCAGAGAGGAGGAGGAATTGGAGGAAGGTTGGGGGAAGAGGTAGAGAGAGCAATCATTAGGGTTGAGGTGGGTATCTGGGCTGTCTCAGCTGGCAGGGGGCACCCAGCCCCCATTGTGGGAGAAGGTGGAGTAGGGCTGGCCAGCAGGGTCCACTTACTTAGGCCATGGTCCAGAGCCACTTACCTCCAGATCTTTTATGTTAGTAGAAGATGCTAGGCCCTCTCCGTTGATGTAAGATGATGACTAGAAGAGAAGAAAGAGCTCACATAGAGATGCTCCCTGTCCCCCTCAATGTCTAAGCCATCCAGTGCCCTTTCTTTCCTACCAACTGGCAAAATTTTCTTTTCTGCCCAACTTGGCCCCCTCTTCTTATAATCCCTGTGCCAACTTCTCCTGGTTCTTATCTCCCCATCCTTCCTCCCCACTCAAGCAGTTCTCATCCTATACTTTCTGCAGCAGTATAAAATGATGTAACCAATATTGTGGTCCAACTCTTGCATTTCTTCAGCTTCAAAAGAGGAAACTCAGAGGAGCAGTGACTTGCCAAACATCACCCAGCAGGTTGGCAGGTCCCATGACCATTCCACCATACTGTGCTGCCCTCCCTCTTGTGAATCCCAGCCTCACTTTCTATCATACTTTCCTTTCCTGCTCCCCATTCTCAGGCTCCAATTTCTGGGGTACCTCAGACACGAGCCCATTGAGCTGTTGTGAAATCTGTCGCAGGCTCTCAGTAGATGACAGAGACCTAGGGATGTAGGCACAAGGGGTCAGAGGTGAAGGTGGCTTGATGGGGAAGAGAGGGTCATGGGCAGTGGCATGTCCCAACTCCCTCAGCTGCCCCGAGAGGAGACACTCACTGGTTTTCATCCATGGAGGTAGTGCCATTGTCTGCATCATGGTTCTGTTTGGGAAGAAACACACGAGGTGGTCATTCAATTTCTGGCAAGAACTGCCTAGAGGCAGGGTGAGCAAAGCTCCTTCCAAACAACCTTCTGCATCCCCAAACCTCAAGGAAAAGCCCAGTCTTGGTTTCCCCAACCCTAGGCCGCTGGAAGAACACTTGGTTCTAGGAACCAAGCTACCTGAAGAAAGTACTAGAGAATCCAAAGTAGGTCTAGTCCTCTGGACAGGAAGATGGAGAGGGGAACATACAGTGAGGCAGCAGACAAAGGGAGAAGCAGCACAAACCTGAAGTGATGCCATGTTACTGTCATGAAGTGAACCAACACTGGTGGGACTGACACCGCCAGGGAAGATGGTATCATTACCAGGTTCCGGTGCAGGAGCGGCGCAATCTTTGGGCGCCTGTCACAAAACAGAGCAGAAGGTTAGGGGGCCACGCAGGAAAGAAGGTACCTCACTGCCATGCACGCAAGGGTGTGGAGCAGGTAGGACAGGCATTGCTGTAGTCAGAATGACAGTCATACAGGGAGCCACTGTGGGGTATGGGTTTGGCTTGCCCAGGCCCAGGCCACTATGCAGCATTTTGGATGGCCACAGCTCAAAGGAGTGGCTGCACAACCTCCTTCATGAGCACATGGGGCCCTGGTTCTCCCTGGAAAAAAGCTGCCCAACTAGAAGCTTCTCCCTGCTATCTGGAGGTAAAAAGGAAATAAACCACAGCCACCTCATGGCCATTATTCCTACTTCAACCTCCTAGCTCCAGAAGCATCTATTTAACTAAGAAACATCCTCAGAAACCAGAGGTAAAATGTCTACCCTTTGACTCTCGGCATCCTGGAGGCCAGAGGGAGGATCTCTCATCTAGTCCTAGGATTTAGGACTAGGATTCCCCACCTGGACCCACTTGCTTGACCAGAGCCCTACCCCAGCCTCTCTCCAGGCCCAAGCCTAAAATTTAGTCCAAGCCTCTGGCTCAGCAGTCTCCTCTGATGTCCAACAGGCTAGGTGGACAAAGAGAATAGGAGAGATGGCTGACAAGCTGAAATATGACAAAGGATGAGTTCTAGGGAGCCAGAGTCTGGCCAAGGAAGCTGGGTCTGGGGAGGAAGAGGCCACACCTTTCTCAGGGGAAACGGCTGCCTATTTCTGGACCCTACGGCTCTGGCCTCTGAAAACCCAAATCTACTTCCCTCCTCAGAGTAAGTGCTGCAGACCTGAGGGACTCTGGTGAGCCAAGTTGTCTTTGCGTATTTATTGTCTGTGCTGTGATATTTTACCCTGGAACCTGGTGTTGCCTTGCCAACTTCTACAATTGAATCTAATAGGTAATAATAGTAGAAATTCAGCAGCTGGCCAGGCATGAGACTTTGGGGGACTCTGGTAGGCTCTGAGTCCCTCCTGGCATCTTGGGTTCCCACTGTCTCTAGAATTAGATACAGGAAAGCTCGGGGTTGGGGGGAGGGAGTATTTTTCTTAGGACTTTTGGGGATAAAATCAATTCTCCCCTAACATTTTCTAGTCTTTCCCTGTGCCTTACATTTTTAAATAAAGCGATTATTTTGTGAGCAACTAAGTTTTTTTCATGATTTGAAATCTTATAACTAAGTATGGAGTTAAAAAAAAAGTTCACTCCCCTTCAAAATGTCACATCCCATTAAATTTTTTTTTTCTCTCTCTCCATTATTCCCCCATTTCTGGAAATATCAGCTCTACTGAGGATGCCCAAATCACAGGCCTGCATTAGTGGGTACAAAACTTCACTGGGAAACAGTTATTGAGGCAGAGAGGGTTTAAAAACAACAAAAAAGAGACACAGGGGTCTTCATTTCCAAAGAACAGAGGAACCTGGGCACAGAATCTTAGAATATTAGAGCAGGCTAACATTTTTCTGGGGAGGAAACAGAGGCCCCAGACTCACTAACAACTGGATCACTGAGAAAGCAAAAGCAAAACACAGCTTTATGACTCCTCTAAGCCTGTGCCCACCTCACCATGCCATACCATCTCTCCTCTGAGTCAACAAGGTAAGCCACGGCACCTTGACAGACCTGACGGACTGGGTGCAAACAGTCCTAGTGACTTAAAAAATCTTTCTAACACTGGCCAACAGTCCCTTTCCCCATACCTATATCTCCAACAGGATCTAGCCCCATCTCAGCCCTACTCCTCTGGCTTAACAGATGTCTCCTGAGCAAGTCAGTCAAGGAGGAAGTGCCAACATCACATCCAGAAGAGGTCATCTCCTAGTCCTATGCACTCCCAATACCCTGCCATGCCAGCCCCCTGCCTTCCTAGAAGGTGCTCTGTGAGCTCCTAATCCTGGATGCTACCCGCTCACTCCCTCTATCTGGAATTCCCATGTCTCCCACTCTCCACATGGACAAAAGGTACCCGCCTTTAATAAACTGGCCTCAAGTCCATTCAGAACCTCCATTCAGAACCCTCAGCTGAGCATTGGAATGTTGCCACATACTCCATTCCAGAGGAGTTGGGCCCCCCTCAACATTCATCTACTTTCTCCAGTGTCTAGCAAAGTGCTTTTGCTAACAAGGGCCCGATGAATATGGTTAAGTGTCTAGTTGAGTTTTGAAAAAGATCAGGGGGCAGAATGTCCTGGTCACTCATCTGTTTGGTTAACCGCACATCCTCTGAAAAAAATAACCTCAATCCTTGCAGCTAAAATGCAAACTCACTTTCTCTTAATCCTGTGTTTCCTACTCTCAAACCAAGAAGAATTAAGCAGTCCTAAAAATCACAAATTTCTATGTGATCTACCACTCTCTTTTGGAGACACATACTGGAGAAAGGTTTTTGTTTTTTTTTTTTATCCCTTCTAATCTGATAGCACCACTGGGCACTCAAACTTGAGGCATGAAAGGCTCAAATCCCACGTATTTGCTCTGGAAGTTATTTCCAAATTACCTTGAACCTTCAAGATGCATCTCACCTTCTCCAAGATGACAAAAGATGTGAGGTAAGGAAAAAAACCCAATCAACTAAGCAGGTGAAAAGGAGACATGAGTAAGCCAGGGTTAATGACAGCAACATAAAATAAGCCAGAGGCAAAGCAACCACAAATCAGAAAGCCTCAGGGGCATGCACAGCCAGGAGAGAGAGCAAGCCAGAGAGCAGTCTCGGCACTGCCTCACCTTCCACTTGTCCAATGGGGATAGCGCTACCCCATTGGAACGGTTAAGGTCGGACACCAGCACCTTCAGAATGTCCTGAATCTACAGGAGGTGAAAAGGGAAAAACAAGGGCAAGGGGAAGAAAGAGAAAATTGGCTTAGAAAGAGGCAAGAAAGTCAGAGGAGGAGGAAGAACTGGGTTCAGGGAAATGGGATGCTGAAGACAATCCAGAAGGGCACCAACACCATGGCCTGTGCCATCATTCTAAACAGCCACCTGCTGCCTTGCCAGAGGCAGAGCTCAATGTAAACAAACAGAAAAGTCCACTGAATGACGTGGTCACATAGAGTGGAGCATTGGAAAGAAGTTCTGGGATCACCTAACCAATGCAGCTCTTTTCTTAATGTGCTCATTGGACCCTCTCCTCGGGCCCGGGATGCAGGGGGACGAATCTGGCAGGGCTCCAGACCCCCATCTCTGCCTTAAAAACCAGACTTTCGAGTAAGGGTCCAACTGAACAAAGGGGATTACAGCTAAAAAGTTTGAAAGATGCTCATCTGGTCCAACAATATCATCTTGCAGATGAGAAAACTGAGGCCCAGGAGAAGTAGCAATTTTCCTGAGGTCACTAACCAAGCTGGTGGTAAACACGACTCAGAACCCAGATCTCTTAATCTTAGTGCCTGGGGCTCTTTTGGCCACTTCCTAAAGGAAGAGCATGATGGCAAGTGGCTGTTCTCATTGGCTTGGCTTCCCCTTGAGGCGGAGGATGAGGAAAACAAGCAATAATTCAAATAGCAACTACCATTTATTGAATGTTTACTCCATACCAGGCCCTGTACTAAGGGATTTACATAAAAACTACAAAAATTTTCACTTAAACTTCACAAGTATAAACAATACAATAGTATCCCTATTTTACAGATGTGGAAACAGAGGCCCAAGGAGCTTAAACAATTTGCCCAAAATCAAACCCCCAGCAGAAGGAGAGGCAGGATTCAGAGCCAGAATTTTTAACCAGTAGCTGACACTTCCTCCTCCACAATGTTAACCACTACTCCTCTACTTCAGCACCCCTACCCAGGAGCTGGGTCAGCCAAGACTCACATCCTCAGGCGGTTTGCAACCATCAGAAGTTGTTGTCTTGGTGCCACCGTCATTTTTGATCTTCCGTTTCTTCTTCACTCCTGCAGGAACATCAGTTTTGTTCCTTTGCTGGAATTCCTTCAGCTGCAGAAAGGAAAAAGTAATGCTCATGAGAACTATAAGCCTCTGTATTTACATCCTACTTTACAGTTTACAAAGTACTCTTTATACACCATCTGATTTAATGCCACCAACAACCCTACAAGGTGCTGTAACTTTCATTTAATGACTGAAGAAATGGATTAAAAAAAGCCAAGTGATCGACAGAAACCATGGGGAAAAAAAAAAAAAAGGCAATCATGAAATTTAAACTCAGCCTTCTGACTCCAAGCTCTAGGGTTTTGCTTTGAATCAGCAGCTGCCAGGGGGCGAAACCAGAGGTAGAGCTGGAAAAGCAAACATTAAATGGGCAAGAACAGTACATTGTGTGGTTTAGAAATCAGACATTGGGGTCCTTTTTTACACATCAATTAGATACGCACACCAGTACTTTTCCATCAATGTATCTCATGGCACAAGGCAGTGAAGGCACACCCCTAGTGAATCTGGGAGCATAACAGAAAGAGGACAACTCAAGTCTCATTTCAAGGAGGATTCTATTATAATCTTACAAATATTTGCAAATGTCATCCCCAAGTACATTAATACAAAAGGATTTTCTCTCTAGAGAATCAAGCAAAACTGATGCTTCAGAAAGATGTCCCATATTTATCCTGTGGCTTTTCATAGCCCAAGCACTCCTCAGAGCACCGTACTTTGAGAAGATGATTTGGGAAAGATTCCCAGCGATGAAGTTCAGTTGCCCAGGATCTATTCTACAGAAGATAAGCAGATTTGATTCCAGAGAGCACTGACTGAAGGAGACTCTGGTTCCAGAATCATAGGGAATCAGAATGTGAGGTAGAGAATACAGAAGAAAAAAAAAAAATTTAAAGTCTCTCTGGAAAGTAGAAACCTGGGAGAAAACCAAACCGAACACTTCTCCCCACTGTCACCCAGCGATGTTGTAAACGTTTAGAGATCTTTGGTGAAGTACAGGTTTTTCACCCTGTCAATGTCTAAGGATGCGGTACAGCCTACAGTAAGGGAACCTCTCCATCCTAGGTCCTATGATCCCGTGTCCCCTTCAAACTAGAAATCTGCCCCGCAACCAAAGAATCCGAAAGGGGTGAAGACACTAGCTGACTAGGTCGGAAGATCAAAGGCCGGTCTCGCGGCAGTAATGACAGTTCCGAGGGGGACTGTGACGTAACTACATTCCACCTCTCCTTACCAACGCCGGAGTGGTGGGAGGGAGGAGGGGGGCGCAGGACTGGGACTGAGGTCCCAGGAGACCGGGAGCCCAAGGAGGCCCGGTTCTGGGTGGCAGCAGGCTAGGGCTGCGACCGGAAGGGGGTTCCCTGGGGTCACCGGCCCAAAGTCACCCGGGAGCGACGGGCGAAGGCGGGGGCTAGGCAGCCAAGGGGGCGGGACTGGCTGAGAGGACTGGCTGGGGGCACCAAGGGGCGCCGAGGGGCTCGCCCGGTGTGTCTCAGGGGCAGCACAGACTCTTGGCCACAGTGCGGTCGTCGGTGGGGACTCAGGCTGGGTCAGGGAGCCGCGACCCGGAGCGTTTTACCTTTTTCTTGGCCGCGGCCAACTTGCTCTGTCGGGTTTCTTCCGACATAGCGGAAAGGGGCGGGGTAAGAGGGGGCCACATCACCAGTCCCGGCAACCACTGCGGAATTACTTCCGGAGGCTACCGCGCAGTTTTGTGACTGAGCCAGGGAAGGAGGGACCAGGGCTATAAGTAGGCGGCTAGAACGTGGGTGTGGCCTAAATTCTCCCAGCCCATTGGGTAATGAGAAAGATGAAAGGGTAAAGGGGCGTGGTCAAGTTGTTTGCCGCGAGCCTGGGGGAGATGGAGTCACAATGGTAGCTGCGCGCGCAGCCTCTGGCTCCCCCCACTTGGGGGGAGGGGCGGGAGCTGCCTCCCTCCATCCCCCCACCCCTCAAGGTGCGCGCGCAGCTCGCTTTGCAACCGTTTCTGCTGTCTGGTCCTCTGTGTTCCTCACCCTGGACACTCCTGTGCTGCAGACCCCCCCAAAACGGGGGCCCGGGACCCCAGGGCTCAGGAGGTGGGCGAGAAGCGGACAGAACCGGACAGTCCCCTTTCCTAACTCCTCACAACTCTGCCCTAGACTTTCTCGTCCCCTCAAAACCCCCCGGTGCGACCACACACCACCTCCAGAGAACCCATCCAGTCGTCCAGATATTCCCTCACCCATCAAAACCTCCCCTTCCTCGTGGGTACCTACCCTGAACCCGGGGGTCTATCTCCACCCCCTACAGCGAGATCCGGTCCCGGTCGCTCCAACTTCCCAACTGTTCCTCCTCCCACACCCCACATTACCCCTTATCTCCCAGAGCCAACTCCAGGCCCAACCAGCCCCCTCTCGGATTCCTCTCCAGGACTCAACCCGGACTCTCCAAAAGTTACCGCGGGGCCTTCCGATCCCCTGTGAGTATGTTTGTGTCCCGCCCGCCTAGCGTCACACACCCACACCTCGCTCTTCCCTCCACCTTGTAAATCGCGGCTGCTTCCAGCCCTCCTCTCCATCCCCAACAGCAGCTGACCCACCTTCAATCCTCTTCTACGTCTTCCCCCAGCTGACCTTCTGCTAAGAAACTCCAGGTCATTTCTCAATCCCTGCCCTTCCCGCCCCTGCACCTATCTTTTTCCTCCAGTCGACCAAGCTTAGAAGCAGCAGTTTCCTGCCCCGTCGGAGGCCAAATCCTCTGCTTGAAATCCCACCCCCGCTGCCCTCTCCCTGCCTCCTCAGATGCGTTTTCGACTCTCCCGCACCAGCCTTCTCACCCAGCCCTGCTTTTAAACAGACCCATAATTCTCCAATCGGGAAAACTAGTGTTAACTCTTGTCAGTTCCTTTAATACTAATAATCTTTCCTCTTCTCTGGCAAACTACTTAAAAAACGTGTTCTCCTCTTCCTTCTTCTCTCACCCTCCACCATGGGGTGGCCACCACTTTCAAGTTAGATCGTGAAAGAGTTGGTGTTCATTTGTTAAGCATCTGCTTTGAGCTGGGCACTGGGGGTGCAGGTGTGTGCCAGACAGCCCCTGCCCTCCTGGAGCCACAGGCTAAGGAGGATGAACAGGCAAAATTCCAGGACAGTCTGAGCACAGGTCTGTGAGGGGGAGCCTGGACTTGGGCGTGCAGGGAAAGTACCCCAGAGGTAGTGAGGTCAGAGGCAAGGCCTGAAGGACAAGATGGAGTTAGCCCAGGTGACTTGGGTGGGGAGTCAAAAGTTTGCCAAAAGCACTACGTTGATTTTCTTGCTGAGGGTATGTTGGGATTGCTTTCTCTCAGAGAAATTCAGTATCGGTCTTTGTTTTCCCTGTAATTCTTGACTGCCCAGCATGCTGTTCTGATTCATATTGATTCATTCATTCCCTTTTTTAAAACAAGTCTTTACTGAGCATTTACTTTGTCCCAATCAGCTACATACATCATCTCGCTGAATCCTGCCAACAACAGGCACTGGCCTTTGCAACTTTTAGAGGCGGGAAGGGCAAAGATAAGCTGTAGCCCCAAGGAAGTGTTTTGTTATCTAATGAGATTATAAACCCAGAGACATAGCCAACTTGAGCGGAGAACCCAAAAAGATGCCCTGAAGCAGATTCTCTAGGGTCAGATTGGGGGCCAGGGTGGGTCTATTAGGATTCAGTTTGGCTGAGAGTAAAAGAAAGCTCCAAATAACAGTGGCTTAAACAATCATCAGGGACCCAGGCCTCTATCTTGTTCTGCCACTTCTCAAAATGTAGCTTTTATTTCATCATCCAAGATAGCTGTTCAGCTCCAGCATTACACCCACATGCCAGGAAGGAGGAAAGGCCAGAAGAAGGCATGCTCTCTCCCTTGAAGAGACGGTTCCCAGAAGTTGTATGCTCTGTTTCTGATTATATTCCACTTGCCAGGACTTAGTCATAGGGCCACACCTAATTCCAAGGGAGGCTGGGAAAGGTAGTCTTATTCAAGAGGGAAGGAACTTCCTATTACCAAGGCAGAAGGAGAGAGGAGCTATTAGGGGACAACTTGTATGCTCTGAATTGTGGATAATTGGTCAGTCCAGCTAATGACTTTTTCTGCCACTCAGCGGCCATCGCCCAAGTCTGGCCAGGCCAGTGGGGCCAGTGAGGATTCTCAGCAGCTTGACATTCAGAAACTGAAAGAGAAGAGGGACATGCTGGACAAGGAGATCTCCCAGTTAATATCTGAGTATGTCTTGTTGGGTTCGTTGACATAGTTAAGAGAGAACTTTTGATTAATGTCCAGTAACTGAAATCTAGTCATACTGGTTTAGTGTGAAAATAAGACTTTGCCACTGCATTCAGGGTGGCCTCTCAGGCAAGGAGGCCGTCAGGCCTCAGGGGGTGGGGGGCCTGGAACTAGGAACTGGAAAGCCATCAGGAATGCAGGCAGTCACTCTCCCAGTCTCTGGGGCCCATGTTCTCTGCCCTGTCTGCACACAGGCTCCATTCTTTCTGTACAGGTGTGGATTTCAGTGCTTTGGGGAAACTGGCTGTTCCACAGCTCCTGGCTTTTCCCGAACACCTTGCTACAGCCACATGGTGGAGACTGAACAGTCTTTGAATCTATACTTTACATTTGAGGGAATCTGACTAGCCAGCTTCAATCATGTGCCCATCTGTGAGCCACTCAGCTGTGGTCAGGTTCACATAGTACCAATATTGCTGGGGAGCATAAAGTTACAAGGAGCATTTGCCAGGACTGAGAGACTAGGCAGATACCCTGCCGTACTGTGAGCTTCATGAGGGCAGAGTTTGTCTTGTCATAACTATATCCCTAGCGCCTAGAACCTAGTAGGCCCTTAGTGAATATTTGTTAAATAGATGCCTCATTACTGTTTGAGCCTTAGGTCATCATCTGCTTTTTTTTTTTTTTATCCCCAGAGGCTACAGTGTGGATGAACTGGAGGACCACATCTCTCAGCTTCATGAGTATAATGACATCAAGGATGTAGGCCAGATGCTGCTGGGCAAACTAGGTGAGCAGCAAGACTCCAGAGGAGCAACCTGGGCTTGGAGGGAGTCCCCACTTGCAAGGGATGACTAGATTTTGCTCCTGGGCCTTTTCATTTGCAACCGTCCCTCCTGTCTCACCTGCCTCACTCCCTGCATGCCCCGTCACTCCTCTTCTCACCAGGCCCTGCCCTCCTTGGCCACCCAACTCGGCAGGTGTACAGGTCTTACCTGAGTTCCTGGTTGCTTTTCCCAAGTACAGAGCCTGCTTTGGAGCTGCAGACAGGTCTGAGCATGGGCTCACCCAGAGTGCTTGAGACACCATGTTTGCCTCAAGTGGCTGACTTGCTAAAGAGGCAGGAAATGCAGGGGTGGTCCTTTGTGGCTTAAAGTGGTATCTGAACAAAAATCTCACTATGCAGAGGGTTTAAACTCAGGCACAGACACCTAGCCAGCTCACCCTGGAGATAAGGAAATGTGTAGATAGCCTCATAAAAGCCTTTCAGTCGCATCAACTGGCTCAGATTGGTGGGCACTCTGGTGTTCAGAGGCCAGGGATCATTTGGTATAGTGTTCAGAGCTGGGGCTGTCTGTCCAGTTTTTTTTTTTTAGCCATCATTCCAAAAATGCCGCCAGCATCCAGGATTCCATGGCAGGGAGGGCTTCTCTATCTGATTCATTGGGGAATGGGTCCCAGAGAAGGAGAAGAAAACAGAAGGAGGGAAATAATCGATGGATGAAGAGAAGAGGTTGACAAGGGCCTGAGGAGAAAGAAGTGTGAGGGAAGTGTTGCCTAGTGGTTAAGAACATAAGCTGTGTTATCAGAACCCAGCTCAGGATCTGGAGCAGGCAACCTCACCTCTTTCATTTATTCAGTGAATATTTATTGAGCACTTACTCTGTGCCAGGCCCTCTACAGTGTGCTGGGGACAGCTGGGTGAACCAGACACGTTTTGGTGGTGGGAGTAGGGGTGTGGCTGGTCAATAAGTAAACAAACACAAACAAATTAATTATAAAATGTGTTGAGTGCAATGAAGGAAACAAAGGGCAGAAATGGAGGTATGAACAGGGTGGCAGGGGATGAGATAAGGTGATCAAGGAAGGCCTCTGAGGAGAACTCTTCCCATGGGAAGGAAGGGTGTTTGAGAGAGAATAGCAGGAGGAACAGCACCACAGAGACTCTGAATGGGCGAGGCTTGGCACATAGGGAAGCTAAGGGGTCAAGGTTTTTCAGCAGGGATGGGATAAGATCCAGTTTATATTTTAGGCAGATGACTTTTGCTGTTCTATGTGGAGAATGAATTATAGGGGAGCTACATTTCACCCCCCTGCAAAATGAGGTGAGGGTTTAGTGAGTCCTTGCAGGTCAAGCGTTGAATACAGTGCGCGGCACATGTAGGAGCTCAGATGTGAGCTGTTATTTTGGGGCGACCAGGCAGGCAGAGGCCTGTCAGGAATGGCAAGGAAGTTATCTTAGCCAACTAGGGGAGAAAGAAGAAGGTGCAGGTGTGGGCACTGACTTGAAGCCACAAGTATTGGTCATGGGTTGGTCAGGGCAGTGACACTGGGGACAGGGCTTTGGCCACATTCCCTCCCTTTTCTTCCTTTCAGCTGTGATCCGAGGTGTCACCACCAAAGAGTTGTATCCGGAATTTGATCTGGACGTGAATGATTGAGCAAAGGGCTCAGAGCCCCTTGTCTGTGACCAGCTAGAACAAGCAGATGTGAATATGAGAAGCAGTGAGAGGCCAACCAGGGCACCTGCAGGGTTTCCAGGGAGAAGATGTCAGAAGCCTTTTTCTAGACAGCCAAGACTGAGTTGAGGGGGGAGCAGGGAGGAAGGGGTGTACGGGTATATGTATCCTATTTATAAATAAATATATGAGCAATCTTGATATCAGTCTGTACACTGATTTCTCTCCACTGATAACTCCCTAATCTTACTCAGGAGAAAGAGAGTCTGTTTTGGATTGTAACAAGCTTACATCTGCCAGGCACTGTGCCTGCACTAAATAAGGGGCAAAGTCGGTAAATCCCACCTTCATTGCTAACTGCATGGTAAAGATCAGCATGAATCCAATCCCCAAAATGGGACAGATCCAGTCCTCACCTTCCCACTTCTCCACCCTCATCGCCAGCCGCCCAAGTGGCTCACTCTCTCCAATCCTAGCCACTCAGAGCTGGGTCAGTGCCCACAAGTTAGATGGACACTGTCTTAGTTATTTAGTGCTGCTGTAAAAGAAATACCACAAGTGGGTGGAATTAACGAACGAATTTATTTTCTCACAGTTTAGGAGGCTAGAAGTCAGAATTCAGGGCACTAGCTCTAGGGGAAGGCTTGCTCTGTCTGCTGTAGGGGAAAATCCTTGTCTTCAGCTTCTCTAGCTTCTCAGTGTTCCTTGGAGATCTCCACATGGCATCTATCCCCCATTGGTGCTTCCTTGTCTCCCTGCCTAATCTGCTCTTTTTATATCTTAAAAACCGATTAGGTTTAAGACACACCTTATACCAATAAGGTCTCATTAACATAGCAAAGAAACCCTGTTCCTAAATAGGATTACATCCACAGGTATAGGGGTTAGGATTCCAACACATAGTTTTGGGGGACATAATTCAACTATAACACCATCTTCCAAACCAGCTGCCCATGGAGGATTTTTTGGACCCTCGCCACTGGCAACTATGTCAGAGTTCACACACTAGAAAGATACCTTCCTGACTGCCCAACAGGCAGACCCCAGCCCCTGCTGGCTCTCACTACCCATGTGGGTTCTTTAATTCGCTAGAATGACTCACAGAATCTCCTGGAGAGTATACCACACTATGGCTGCAACTTTTTTACAACCAAGAAGGATATAAAGACAACACATAGGGTGAGGTCTGGGAGGAGTCACAGTGGGGAGCTTCCATGTCCCAAAAATGGCTCTTATGGATCTAAGAGGGCTCTTATGCATCTCACCACGTGGCCACGATAGATTACATCATGCTTCGTGAGGCTTAGTCAGCATTGGGCCCCCAGTTGGTCCCTCTCAGCCTGATCAGCCCCCATTCATTAGCCTCAGGTTGTTGGTATGGCTAGAAAGAACTGAGAACAAAGCCAAATTGCTTTCTGCAAGGTGATTCCACACCTCACAGTGCCTTATACCCATTATCTCTAATGCTTAAAACCATCCTATGACAAAGGTTATACAACATGAAGAATGTAACCAACATCACTGAATTGTACATGTAGAAATTGTTGAATTGGTGAAGGTTTTGTTGTGTATATTTTCACTGCAATAAAAAAAAAAATCCTTTAAGGAATTAGTATTCCCAAACCCAAACACACTGCCTTCTTGGAAGCGGACTGCCACATCTTTATCCTGTGGTGTGGCTGGTGGGTTTGGACCGCCAACCTTTCGGTTAGTGGCCAAGCACTTAACCACCGCACCACCAGGGCTCCTGAAGTAGCATCACCATCCCCATTTTACAGATGAGGACACTGAGGCTCAGAGAGGCAAAGTGACTTGCCCAAGGTCACAAAGCCAGTAAATGACATAGCAGGAATTTGAGCCCATGTCTGATTCTGAAGTTGTGCTCTGCAATGCTGCCTTTCTGGATTGGGGGAGAAGAAGGCAAGAGCTGAGAGTGATCAATGGCAACACTGAGAGGAATTCTTACCTTATAAATCTATGTATATTAAGGGTTCCAGTTCCCCATTATAATTCTCTGTGAAGCAAGGGGGAGCTGTTGTCATCATTTCTTCGTTGCACGTTGCTTATGATGAATAATCATCATTGGCAGAAGTAAAACTGGCATGACACACTGCTCAGGGTGCAATCCAGGATGGCAGGACTTCACACCTGACTTGCTCAGTGTTCTGACTATTCTAACTGCCTCCGGTCCCGTTTTTGCTGGAAGCTCTTATAAGATTTGGGGTGTGATAGCAGGGTTGGGCACAGTGGTTAAAATGATCTACTGCTAACCAAAAAGTCAGCAGTTTGAAACCACCAGTGGCTCCTCAGGAGAAAGATGTGGCAGGCTGCTTCCATAGAGATTTACAGCCTTGGAAACCCTATGGAGCAGCTATGAGTCAGAATCTACTCAACAGCAATGGGTTTGGTTTGTTGGTTTGCTGGCAGTCATGAGGTGAAAGAATTAGTCTCTAGACACCAGCCACACGAGTCAGGCCTGGATCTGAGTTCCATCTCTGCCCACCTGTGAGCAGCATGATCGTGGGCAACTGATGTGGCCTCTAGAAAATGAAATAATAGTAGCACTGTATTCATCAGGGTAAGTACCAATAACTGCCTCCACAAACAGCCCAAAATCTCATTGGTCGAACACAATAGAGGTTGATTTCTCTCTCAAAGTCTGATGAGGGTCTGGTGGCCCTCCTCCATACTGGAACATGTGGCCATCAGAGCAGAGTCACCATAGCAGGAGAAGAGGGAGATGGAGAAGGTACATCAACACTTCACTGACTCAGCCCAAAACTGGCACATATCACTTCTGCTCACAGTCCACTGTCCAGAACTAGTCACATGGCTTCAACTGTCTACCAGGTAGGCTGGGAAATGAGGGTGAGCACATAGATATTTGCTAGGGACTAACTGTCTCAGCCAAGAGTACCCACCTCGAAAGGCTGCTTTGAGGATTCAGTGAGTTACTGCAGGGGAAAGGGCCTGCAAGGGACCCAGCACCTAGGAATGTTCGGAGTTCAGCTCCGCTTCAGTGCTGAACAGCAACCCATCCTCTTCAGTGACATGTGTGTGTTCAGTGGCCAGGCTCCAGTCCCCCTCCAGGTTTAAGATGCTTGTTTGTGTCTATACATTCTTCTAGATTCACCATAAAAGCCTCTGTGGCACTGGCGCCAGGCGGCATGCATTCTCATTTCTGGACCTTCCTTGCCATTTTTTCATAATTTATACTTTCACATTATAATGTCAACAAGTCTTCACAAGCACTTTATGAGATAAGGTTCTATTATGGCCCCCATTTTGCAGTTGAGGAAACTGGGGCTCAGAGCGGGGAAGCAACTTGTCACACAGCGAGTCAGTGGCAGAGCTGGGACCAGAGCCCAGGACTGTCTGGCTCCAGAGTCTGGGCTTCTAACCTGTACACTAGAACTTGAGGCCTTGTACTCTGCCAAGGATTTGTTGGCTATGCACCAGACTCTTACTATATTGGGTGCTCCCTAAGGACAAGACTTTGCCAGATTGAACTCAGAATGCCATCCTTCCCCCCTGTACCTTACACATACTCAGTATTTGCCTAATTGAGTGTGGTCCTGCACCTGTTCCCTTAGGTCTTTGGTGAGAACAAGGTCTCACTGGAAATGGAACCAGGACTGGCATGGGCTTCTTAGATTCTCACACTTCTTAGGCCCCACACAGCTGTCATGTCACCTGAAGCAGCAAGTGCCTTGACCCACTTTCTTCTCAACTTCCTGAGCCACATTGCTTTACACTGTAGGAGGGGGAGAGGTAAGCAGCCAGGCTCAGTGTGAATGGGAGCCACAGAAGTGGCCACTTCCATGAGGTTTCCTCTACCTCATCCCATTTTGTCCATATGGAGAGCTGGCTTGTCTCCTCTTGCCTCTGTCCACACAAAACACCTCTCAGTGCTAGGTGCTGGGAGCCAGTCTCTAGGTCTCCGCCATAAAGAATTCACCTGCCAGGTGAGGGAACTAAGTCAGGGAACTAAGAATCAATGATAACACTACTGGATAAAAGACTGTGATGAGGTTATAGGAATACATCTGAGCAGCACGTAACCAATTTGGGGGCATCGGGGAAACTTCCAAGGTGCCCTGGTGGCACAGTGGTGAAGCACTCGGCTGCTAACCAAAAGGTCAGCAGTTTGAACCCACCAGCGCTCTGTGGGAGAAAGATGTGCCAGTCTGCTGCTGTAAAGATTATAGCCTTGAAAACCCTATGAGGCAGTTCTACTCTGTCCTATAGTGTTGCTACGAGTCAAAATCAACTCGATGGCAATGACTTGGGGGAAAACTTCCTGGGGAAAGAGACATCAATTTCTGTACAAGGAGTCAGCCTGACAAGTAAGGAGAGTGTTCCAGGCAGAGGAAACATTTTCAAAGGCCTAGAGGTGAGAAAATTTAGCAGGCCCAGGCTACAAATGGTTTTAGTTTGGTTGAGAGTAGTCAGGGATGGTGATTTGCTGGCTGTGTTCACCTGGACTCTTGGTGGGAGATAAGAGCCTTACCCAAACACTGTCACAGCTTTATCCTGTATTTTGGGCCAATCTTGAGGCATCCAAGGAGGATACTTGGAAGGAAAGTATAATCTGGACCCATTTCTCTCTAGGGCAAGATTGGCTCTTCCAGGTGTCATGGCAGGCTGAGGCCTCGCGGGGGCAGTGTCCACCAAGAGATGAACCTACCAGCACCAGGAAGGAACCCGTGGGATGGCTCTGGTGGAAAGGTTTGGGCCTGCCAAGCCACCAGCAGCAGACTGGATCCTCAGAGTGCCCCATATAGAAGAAGGGGTTTCCTCTAGCAGTATCCCTCCCAGAAGTCTGAAGTGACCCGGGGCAGTAAGGAGCCAGCTGATTGTGATGTGTGGATTGTGACACATGCCATCCCTCAGGGCGTGCCACATGATGCAGGAAAACAGGCCCTTCATTCCGGGCCAAGGTTAACTCTGACATGGCATGTGCACATACATAGTCTGTTTGGTCATATCCAGTATAAACCCTACTCAAAAATATTTAGCGTCCGGCGTCTATGAAGTTCAAAACACTGGTCCCCACGACCCCAAAATGTCATTTCTGGGCAGCCTGACCTCACAGAGGTAGTGTCACCAAATATCATCCTACTTCAGCTTTTCTCAGAAGGGAGGAAAAGAAGCCCAGACCGGGAGCCCAGTGCCCTTGTGTGGTGGGGGAAAGGGGCCCCAGTGAGGCCCCCAACTCTGATGCCTGGGAGGCATGGTGAGGAAAGCTCCAGCTTCTGTGTCGGGTGGTGGGGACTGAGAAGGAGGTGAAACGTGACAGTTACACACCCAAACCAGTTAGAAGCTGAAGGTTTCACCAGAGAAGATGGTAATGGTCCTAATAACCAATGGTTACGAAACACTGTGCGTCAGTAGAGTGCTGAGCACTTCATGAATCTCACCAATTCTTCCAACTACTGAGTGTGGTTACATAGAGTATCCCATTTCCAAACAAG